TACTAAACATTTTAGCCATAGGTGAAGTCAGCAACTATTTTTTTACAATCTTACCATTTCAGAATTCCTAGCTTCTCAGTCAATGGTTCGATATATTGACTCAACAGACATGTGGCTCATCTATTTCCTTGTTCTCATATTCCAACCTCCCCTTTAATTGCAAGTCAACTCTTAATTTTGTAAGAAAGACTTGTTTTTAGTTGACTGCCTATTATGCACTCTGCTGAAAAACATTTCCCAAATGGGGCTTTATTAGTCTTGGATCTTGTCATTGCCTCTGAATGATAGATTTGGGTCAATACTAAAATCAGGCTCCAATTCAAGCTAGGCCGTGAACCCTAGTACATTTAAGGTGGAGATATGAGAGGGGATTGAGGATAGTAATGGAGAAGAAAAGGGGTGGGGGGTTAAAGAGTGCCAAAGAGTGAAGTGTTACCAGTGGAGACAGCTTTGAATAGAGTCACTCCTTGGCACAACTCCTGTGATAGAAATGCCAACTGAGCATCAAACACACTGACTGCTGCATGCCTGAGCTTTGGCAGATTTGGAAAGAGTTGGATCAAATAATACCATGGAGTAGCATCTTCCAAATTGTGTATCTTTTATCTGAATCATAGACATTTCAGTTCATACTCTTTTAAATATTTTTTATTGTGTTTTTTTTTTTTTTTTTGGGGGGGGGGAAGGGCAGAAGGGAGAGGAAGAGAGAAACATCGATCAGCTGCCTCCTGTATGCCTCCTACTGGGGATCAAGCCTGAAACTTGGGCATGTGTCCTGACCTGAATCTAACCTTTGACCTATCAGTGCATGGAATGATGCTCAACCAACTGAGCCACACTGGCCAGGGCTCAGTCCATAAGTTCATATTCTTTTTTTTTTTTTTTTCTTCATGTGATCTTTTTTTTTAAATTTTATTTATTTTTTTTAATATATTTTATTTCAGTCCATATTCTTATAATCGATTACCTTAATTTGTGAAATACTTATTTTATAGGACATTTGTTTTCTGGAAAACACAAGCTGGTCCAAAAGGAATAAGGAATAATCCCCTAAGTCTTGGTTGCTGTAACTATTTGGTGTTGATACTATATATAATTTGTAAGAAAATAAAAAGGAAAATGCTGATAGAATGATGTCCCATATATTGAGGAATTACTTGTTCTGAGTCAATAGAATAATCATGCAAACTTTCACTTGAATTATATGCTTACTGTTGCATTGTATATTCTTACACTCAGTTGCTTGTATTATCCTTGGATGGGTCCCCCCCCCCCCCCCCATTCCCTTTGGGTAATTGCTTTCATTCATTTGTTTATTGAACAAATATTTATTGAGTGCTAACTATATTCCAGGCTTCACTGTGCTGGACATTAAGGACATTGGATCTCTCTCTTGAAATGTCATGTAAAAAGTTCTATGATAAATGAGATGCAAGGTGCAAAGGTAGCATCTAACTAAGAGTTGAGGGTTTAGAGAAGGTTCCTCAGAGGTAGCAATGTTTAAACTGAGATCTGAAAAACAGATAGGAATTGTGGAAGTAAACTGGGTTTTAGGTAAATAAAAAATAAAAAAAGTCATAGAGAGAACATCTGGAAGTGCTAGAAAAGAGCCTGGTTGAAGAACTGAAATAAGTTCTGGTTGTCTAGATAAAGTGCAAGGGAGAGAGTGCTGGGATGTAAGGATAGAGAAGTACTAGTAGTATGGACTGAGTAGAGAAGGATCTTGTAAACCAAAAGAAAGGATTTGAAATTTACCCTGAGAAAAATGAAAAACTTAAATTTAAAGAGTTTGAAGCAAGGAAATATTATTCTGGCTACAGTGTAAGACAGGACCAACTATTGTGAGACTTGCACTTAGAGTAATTCAGAGAAGAGAAACAAGTTAAGGTTGTCACCATGGAAATGATATGAAGATGATAGGCCTGAAATATATTGAGCCAGGAGAAGCAGCTGGTGGTTGGAGAGTGAGTGGGATGATGAGGGGGAGGGTTGAGTCAGATATCACGGGAAAGTTTTGGTTTTGTCAACTATATGAATGGTGAGATGTTGGGAGCTGCCCATTGCTTTCACTAGCAGAGAGGTATGGACAAGGAACCTGGAAGGCTGGTCAACCTTGAAGCTCTGAAAGGTCAGAGCCAACCACTCTCTGTCTAGTTGAGACAATGGTAGCTAAAGCAACCTCCACCTTTTAATCTTATGTAAGTCCTTGCTGATTGGCTATTACTGGAATTGCCTGCCTAGAGCTACGGGTGGATCCCAAAGTCTTAATAAAAGGGATAGCAAGGCCAGAGCAGGGTGAAGTCCTCCCCCTTGAGTTGGGCTTCTGCCTGGCCCCCAATATTGCCAAATTAACATTTTCTAGTCTCTTTCATTTTTAAAAAAAATATATTTTATTGATTTTTGTACAGAGTGGAAGGGAGAGAGATAGAGAGTTCGAAACATCACTGAGAGAGAGTCATCGATCAGCTGCCTCTTGCACACCCCCTACTGGTGATGTGCCCGCAACCAAGGTACATGCCCTTGACCGGAATCGAACCCGGGGCTCTTCAGTCCCCAAGCCGACGCTCTATCCATCGAGCCAAACCGGTCCTGGCAGTCTCTTTCATTTGTGTGAGGCCTCCTCCAGAACCCAAACCCTGAACCTGAACTCTGAACCACACTGGTCATGGTGGGGACACTCGCAGTGAGACCATTTCCTGACAAAGGGAGCACATGGTCAGAGGGCAGAGGACAGGTTCAGTGCTATAGATACTGAGTTTGAGAATCCTGTTGCACATCCAATCATTGCAATAAAAATGGAGTCTGGGGGAGACGGGCATACTGAGCGTACCTTAATTTATAAGACTTTGGAAGTTCACTTTGCGAGAGTAGCTTGGTGGAGTGTAGGGGCAGAGCTTGATGGTGGATTGAGGAGTGAATGGGAGGTGAAGAAATGTGAATATATAATCAACTTCCTAGAAGCTTGTCTTAGAAGGGGAGGCAGAAAAGAGAGAGGGTGGCAACTAAAGGGGCACATGGTATTGAGAAAATGGAACATGCTTGAATGTATTTAAATGTGTTCAGGACAGAGTCTGAAGAAAAGTTGATGGAACAGAGCAAGATCCATGAAATGGAGGGTTGTGGGGCAGATGTTAGCCTTAAGCAGAATGAGATCACAGTACTTTATACCCAAGTATATCAATGAAAATGGGGGACTACTGGAGAATTTTAAGCAAGGGAAAAGCATGATGAAATTTCCCTGAAGAACTGCTTTCGGTGAAGTAGGTTTTGGCTCATGCACTTGGCTTATGTTGAGGAATATCCTAAAAACATGCTGTTATATTCATTGTAGGGGTTGCCCTAAAAGACAATGCCCTCTATAAGAGTATCTCATAAGAAATTTCTTACCTGTCAGTTTTCTTTTGAGGAAGTAGTATGTTTTCACATTATGGTGATGAAAACATATTGTTGATTTATTTCTCTTTTTGTTAAGGACACCAAGAAGCTCAGAGCCATACAATTTTATGTCATATATTTTCATTATAACTTTCTTTGTGGTCTTCAACTTTGTTTATGTATGGTTTTCTTGCTTATATTTAAATTTATATATTTTAATTTATTTTAAAAAATATATTTTATTGATTTTTTATAGAGAGGAAGGGAAAGGGATAGAAAGTTAGAAACATTGATGAGAGAGAAACATCCATCAGCTGCCTCCTGCATCCTCCTCCCTCCCCCCATCGCCACTGGGGGTGTGCCCACAACCAAGCTACATGCTCTTTACTGGAATCGAACCTGGGACCCTTCAGTCTGCAGGCCAATGCTCTATCCACTGAGCAAAACCGGCTAGGGCTTTATCTTCTTTATAGATGTTTTAATTTTCCTCAAATTCTATGTGAAATGAAATGTGAGGATAAATTCATAATAAATAACACACGACCGTATTTGCTCTCTTAGATTCCTCCGCCTCAGGATGGTATACACAGCATGAGGTGGAGGTGGGGGGAGGTGGATAGTAGAGGCAGGGAGGTCAGTTAGAAGGCTCTTCTAAAAGTCCAAGAGAGAAAGGAGGGAGGCTAAACTAAGGCAATAGTAATGGAGATGAGGAGAAAGGGGTGGATCTGAGAGAAGTTTAGGATGAAGAATGGAAGGAAATTGGTAATGAACTAGATGGTGCATGAGTGAGGGAATGGGTGGGTGAGGAGAGGCAGTGTCCAAAAACAATTCTGAAGTTTTTGTCTTGGTTTGGATGGCATGTTCACTATAATATGGAAGAAAACCAGGTACGAAGGTGAAGATGGTGTGAGACAACCAGGCGGACATGCGTATAACAGTTGGTCTGGAAGTGAGAAGAAAATCTGCAGTGCAGATAGAAACTTGGTCTTCGTGGGACTGAACGTGCTTTCCTGGAGAGAGTGAGTGAGGCAGAGAAGAGCAAAAGCAAAAGCAGCATGTAGGTCAGAGTCCTGAGGATCATCATCTAATGATCAGGTAGAGGAGGACGAGTTGGCAAAGGAAAGCAAGAGAAAACAAGAATATAGGGAAATGGGAACTAAAGGAAAGAGTGTGTAAGATGGTGGCTGGGGTCAAATGCATCTAATGCTACTAATTAAGAGCGAGAAAGATGAGTATTGAATAGCGTGTACTTTTAGTCGTGACTTGTAAATAGTTGGTGACTTGAGTGGAGATGTTCAGTCATTCATTCCCCAATACATGTCAGTGAATACTGTGAACTACATTCTAGTTGAGTAGTAATGACTGATCTGATGTGGTGGAAATAAGCTAATGGGGTGCAAGGAAATTTAATCCATCAGGATGAATAATTGTGGGAGAATGATGAGTTTGGAGGGGAAGCTCAGCCTAGAGGCATTACTACCTCAGAAACAGAGTACAATGTTTTAAAGAAAATCATCATAGCTAGGTATGTGCACTAAGTTGAATGATGGTATCAAAATATTGTAAAAAAGTAGAATAAAATGACTTATGAACTATGTTTAAATCAGATAAAACAGGCCAAGGTATTCATGAACATCAATAAAGCTTTATAACAGTTCAATTCATTTCCATTGTTTGGATTAATATTGTAGTAATTACACACTTTGTACATTATGAAAATAAGTCATAAATAGTGTAAAAATAATTTTGAAGATCAACTTCTCACAAACTAGGAACCCTGTAAACAAGTTACAAAAGCAAATAAAGACAAATGAGAAACTGAGCATAATGCAATTATCTTCAAACTGCAAATTGAAAACCACACACTTCTTTTGATTCAGCAATGTCAGCAGGAGAAATTAAAATGAAACTGAAATAAGAAATCAAACAGAGAGAATTCAATCTTTCAATTATTTACACTGCTGAGAAAAACAGGTTTGTTCCATATTTACAGTGATAACACATAACACATTCTTAGAATAATCAATTACATGGGACTGGCCCACAAAACATTAAGAAAAATATGCAGTGTAATGCTTGCCAAAATATGTTTTCTGCATTTTCCTTTTATTTTGTATTCATGTGATTTTTTTTTGGCAATATAAAAATAGCTGCACATAGAGATGAACTTTAACATGTAAAAAATACAAATAAAAATATAATATTTTCTAAAGGAAAATCAGATACATACATCTTTTAAAAATGTTATTAAGTTGCATGAAACATTTACAACAGCATAAAGAACGTCCACATAAATGTCAATAATAAGACATTCTTTTGTGAATCCAATTTATCAACCGCATTTTGAGAAATGATGGTAATTTATTAAGTTATCAATAAATCATAACTGGTCAGGTTGAAAAGTCTTCCTATTCCCAAAAGGACAATTCTGTCAAGAAGCTGCACAGGAAATCTTATGCATTTAAATACATGAAAAAATCAGACATGCCATTAAAATGTTTCAGTATTGTATTAATGAAAATTAAACCCACTAAAAATTTAAGTTTATGGCATATAGTATATCTAGTCAATGTGAAGTTATTCAACAAAAGTAGAGGTACACACAGAAGGCTGACAAAATCATCATTGGTCAATTATGTTAATTCCATTAGGAATGAATAATTTTAACAGCCAGAATCAAACACAGGTAATTGTTATTTATAAGAATATATGAATACGTTGTTATGGTCTTGACTTTCTAGAGATAGCAGGGATTTTGTGTTTTGTTTTGATATAACTTGAAAAAGTTTACTTTTGGAACTGTAATTATTGATATTACTTGATTATCAAGAAATAGGAAAGATGCCAATATTGGCATATTTCTACAATTACATCATTCACCATGCAAACATAACTGACTTCTGAGAAAATCATACAGAGGGCCAAGAAAAGATGAAAAATAGTATTAACATTTTATGCTACAATAGTAATATTAAAAAAATTTAAACCTTGGAAAATTAAGCACATTTTCCAAGTGATAAAAATATAAGCTACCAAAGACAATTTTTCCATAGCTACTGACATGCTGATCTGATCACTTTACAAACCAGGAAAGGACATGTAGGATGAACTACTAGATGCATACTGGTAAGTTCTTGCTGTCCCTTTAGAACATCATGCACAGGAAGTAAATTGAAGAACGAACATTTTTTTGGGAGATGGAAATTCAAGATATTCTCAAGTTTTATATAAAATCAAATAAAAAAGAAAAACTCTCCAAGACTGCTTTTCATAATGAAAATAAAAACTAGAAGAAAAATTTAGGCATATTTCTGCATCAGGTATGCTATGAATGTATGCAGACATCTACAATAATTCTGGTTTTGCCACACTTAATCAAATTAAGTCAGTTAAAAGATGAAAATGAAAGTTGATAAAAGGCATACAGCATATGACAAGAACATGTAATAAGAGGATCCATGATCCAAGTAAGGACATATCATCTGGAGCTTATACTGTTTTGTATTCTTTTACATTTAAAAAGACTAGTCCTTGTACCATTATTACAACAAATTCATGAACATGAAAAAATAAAACCACACACTAACTGTTTAGGAATGCTATTAAACTGGGAAATGAAATCTATAGTAGAGTTTCACCGTCCATAAAGAAAAAGAAATACATCAGCACCATCATGAATGAAAAACAATTTTAAAGCTAAAACACATACCAATTTGGTATCCTTAGAAGGTGCTTATCGGAAATAGAACCTGATTTTGACTTATTTCCATTGTGTCCTTCAGGGGTTTATCTCAATCCTCTATTCAATAATATAAATTAAAAGAAAGAAATCTTTAAGAAAAATATGTATCTGCCAACACATATATCAGCAAACATAATTTATTAGTTCATTTGGCAATTATTTGATGATGAAATGGATGGTTGGAAATATTTTAGGAACCAAAAATTTAAGATTATCCATAGTGGTTAAGACCTAGTAATTCCACTGAACAAAGAGGAGTGCTATCATCCCTTTGTTTGTCCAAAGGAAATAAATGTAATGGAAGTTAATTTTATTCCTTAATCATAGAATAAAAGTCAATGTTGTAAAAACAGAGCAAAATCCCAATATACACATAGAACAGAACAATATTCTTAAGGGCTGTATTTAAAAAAATTTTGTACATAAAATGATTATCTTTTGAGGTATTCTCTTTAGAAGCTGTGCAAGTTTTAAATAGTGATCCATCTTGATACCTGTTTTTACTAAAGGAGTAAGAAAGATACATAGAATGAAATATAGCCACCAGATTTTTCTCAAGACACTACTGTTTGGTTTCCTGAAAATACTGTAGTTCTACCCGCTTTAGTTCATTTTCCCAATCTATTTAAGACAAGTCGTTTTAGACATTGAACGATAATACCTCATCCTAACCATGTCATAGAAGAGATCATTAGAAAAATGCCCTCTATTGTTTTAAAAAATGCCAAATTGGCTTCAGAGTGTGGAATGTTACTAGAAATGTGACCAGTTAGGTGGGTGTAATAGTTTGAACATCTTTCCAATCTTGAAAACTTAATGGAAATTAAAAAAAGGCAATGTGATAATTGAGCATTTGGTTACATAATATGAAAGAGATCATAAGGACCTAGGGTCCTTGTCTTAAAATCATATCTTAATTTCTGTCAGCCCAAGTCAATGATGAATTAGGTTCCCCTCTGGTGGTAACAACCTATGCATGAAACTTGAAAATTTCCCACAAAATGGTGTTGAGTCCAGAGAAAAATTATATTGCCCCATAAGCTAAAAGTGATTATTCCTCATTGATGATGTTTCTCCTAATGGAACTCTTCCACGTAGAGCAAGCCATTTCAAAACATGCTACCAACACTTTACTGTGCAAAGAAATGCTCAGTCTAATACAGCTAGGTAACTTTTGAGCAAGAAGATGAAAAAATACTCTTAATGGAAACTAGACGGCAACTATATTTCACAGCTTTCTGAGATCTCAGATTTGGTCTGTGCATAAGAAATGTAAAGAAAAAAAAAGAGAAATCTAAATATGAACAAAACTTATATCTAAGTAGAACTATAAAAATATAGAAATGAGTTAATACTATCAAATGTGACCAAATCTTGACTTTATCTTAAGTGATAATCACTATGTATGTTATATTTATCATATGAAAAAAAAAATGTCAAAAAGTACTGAAAAAAATTTCTTAACTTTGATACTTTACAATGACTGAACTGAAAGTGGAGCTTCTTTTCCATTCTCTTCAATTATTCATAATGAGAAAGAAAGTTAGTAAAACGTTATCTTGATTATTGGTTCCGTTATTAGAGTTTGAAGACTTTTCTTTTTTGAAAAAAAGTTCAAACAAATATGACAAAAGAGTCTCAGCTTAGTATTCCTTGGAATAAAAAAAGAAAGACAAGAAAAAGTATTTATAAGAGCTGGAAACATGTTCTGTTTCTAGAACTTTGTAGAAAATGTTTGAAATGAGTTTGATTTGGGAGAGAACGGAGGCTCTCGCATCAGCTTCAGCAGAGACTGTGGAGTGAGCCCCCTTCAGGAAGTGTGATCTCTTCAGCAACCTGAGCTTTGTCGGGAGGGACACACCCTTTCCTAAGAATCAGAGGCTGCCATTCCAAGGATCTTCTACGCCAAAGAAGAGCTGTATGTCTCTGTCATTTTTCCAAAAGTACCCATACCAACACCTGCTGGAAGTCAGTTTATCAGAAGAAAAAGTTTGCTGTTCTGGGCGCCTGCACTCCTACACCTCTTTCCTGCTTGGTCACAGGAGAGGCAGCGCAGGGTACTGAACTGGTCCTCTTTCCTGTCTTCACTGCCAAGGGCAGCCCAAGGAAAATGAGCGGCACAACCAGCTCAGCCCCTTGCTATTTCAACCAAGGTGGCCACGGGAGCCCACAATGCTGGACGCTGTAGATCAGCAGCTGGGACTGCAACGCCCTCAAAATACAAGACCACTTGTGTGTGTGCTCTCCACCACTTTATCTCTTTTTGGCAATAAGCCACGGTGTAACCCCCTTGAGATGACAAAAGAAAGAGAAGCTCAGATGTGACGGAAGGACTCATCAGGAGGCATGCTAGCATCTGAAGGTGCACAACAGCAGGCAGGTCTGGCAGGGACATGCTTTTTTAGTCAGTTTCAACGGGTGGTGTGAACTCCGTGCTAATAGCGAAGGTGAGTAGGAATGTGACGATAAACGCTAACATTGGTCAGTATGGTACATTTTCATAGTTTTGAGTCCATATTTGGTCACAATTTTATGTAAACTATTTCATGGCCCCTTTTGTCCATGCAAGTAGTAAGCCCAAAGTAAGAAAATAGCAAGAACAATCATTCTCTATCACTGATATGTCCATATAAATAGGCATCTTTACATAAGATAAAGAGATACTGATCTATAGTTTTCTGCAGGCTTCTCACTAGTTTCACATGTTGCCCAATTTTGGATGTAAGCGAAGAAAAGATGGACACGTGTACTACTGCAAACAGGAAGAAGCAGCTATATGTAAACATATCTCAGACTTGTAAAATCTGCAATTCAATTTTCAACTATAAATATAAAGAGTGGACCACTATATACACAACTTCATGCTCGGAAGGTTAGTTTCATCACTGCAGAAAAACAAACAACAAAAAAGACAAATATATAAAATTAGTGGTCTGGGATAAAAATTCCAAATTGACATTCATCTTAAGAAAACTGGTAGAACCCTGAATAGAGTTGTTGTTCGTCAATCAACGAGCCAATCAATACGGTTCTTACAACATGACTTTTCTAAAACTCCAGTGTCATCAAAATTTCCACCCTAGATTCCACCCACATTTTTCCTTTTGCTGCAGAGAAGTTTCTGGAAGTGTTTATTTCAGTAACTATTCTGGGAAAGCAGAAAGTTAGGATTTTTAGCATACAGGTGCCATAGTTAAAATACATGTCCTGTTTACAACGTACCTAACCTCTCCACACACTAAAACACACTGTGGGAAAGGCTGAGGATTCTGATCTCAGTGGCACTACTTACGTCAACACCAGACCCTTCCTGTTTCCTCTTTCCTTTTGTTAGTCCTGCCCCGCTGCGGATGGTGGGCAGGGTACACAGCCTGCTAGCAGGTCTTTAAACTGTATTACAGGTTCCACTGCGATCTAAGGCACCGTAAATCTCTGGTTCCTCATTCTGAACAGCCATAGTTATTAAGGTTTTCCTAGAACTAAAGTTAAGTCTGAGAGAACTGAGGGCCAATCATCTCTGAAGTATAAACTTATACAGCAGAGATCTTGGAGATGGTGACTTTTACTCAAAAATAAAAGTCAATGAGAAAAGTAAAATTTCCAGTTCATTAATGAAAAACTTTTGTTTTTCTCTCTCCAAGAAAAAATAGATGCTACATTAGATATGCTTACAAGAGGCTGGGAACTTTGTGATCTTTAGAGATGGAGTTCACTCCATATTTATGCATGTTGTGTCCATGCCAAAGAATATGGCCAGTGTGGGTCAGTGGTTGAGCATCAACCCATGAACCAGGTCAGGGTTCGATTCCCAGTCAAGGCACATGCCCAGGTTGCATGCTCCATCCCCAGTAGGGGTATGCAGGAGGCATCAATGATTCTCATCACTGATGTTTCTATTTCTCTCTCCCTCTCCCTTCCTCTCTGAAATCAATAAAAAAAAAACATAAAAAAATAAGGTGTGTTTTGTTTTGTTTTGTTAAACATGGAAAAAAAAGCTTTAGTAAGACATTAAAAATATGAAAGCTATAAGTATTTTTCTGATTAAATAGTTTAAAAAATATATTTTATTGATTTTTTTACAGAGAGGAAGGGAGAGGGATAGAGAGTTAGAAACATCCATGAGAGATCAACATGGATCAGCCTCCTCCTGCACACCCCCGCAACCAAGGTACATGCCTTTGACCGGAATCGAACCTGGGACCCTTCAGTCTGCAGGCTGATGCTCTATCCACTGAGCAAAACTGGTTAGGGCTAATTAAAGAGTTTTAATCTCCAGATGGGGATGGATACAACTTTAATAGTCTGTAAGTATTTTCTTAACCATAAATGCTGCCATTTACTCACTGTATTAATTACACCGTGAACTGGTACATCATTACTCTTCAAAATTCAAAAACTGAACTGTATATAAAAGGAAAAGTCATTTAAACAAAGATCAAATAATTTTTCATTAAAAAATTATTAGAGAGCAGCATAACCAAAGGGACTTGCTCATTAATCAAAGTGATTTACATGGCTGTCTCAATCTGAATTTTCAAACATTTACCACTATGCTCCAGAGGCTAATAAACAATAATGTTTAAAAGGAGGATCCACATAGAACAGGACTAAATAAGAAATCTACTGGACTTCTTTTAAAAATATTTAAAAAATAATTTGATTTGACAAAGTGTATTTCAGATAGCTAGATAGCTAAACTGACCACATAAGAGATTTTAGAATATTCAATTTTTTCTAATTGTTTCTACTTTTTGGGGAGGAGGGTGTTGAGAGAGGTTGATTCCAATGATTTGTTTTTGTGTGTTTTGAGAGTGTGATAAGCAATACTGAGTTTTATCATTGAATTATTATTATCTTTTATATAAAAAGATGCAAGATTTAAGAAATCCTTGATCTTATGTAGACCATGGTATCTATTTTGTGGAAAATTAGTACTTAAAAGGGAAATATCTGATTTTCTGATGCCAGACATATTACTATTAGGATTGGCCTTTTTATGAATTAAAAGATGATGAGTGCTTTGTTGCCATTATTATGACCTCACAGGAAGGAAGTGATTTAAAAGCAGCTGAAAATTATACGAACCAAGTTCTGAGTAGTGTTAGAAGGCTGGTAAAATAAGCCTTTCACATCCACCTCGATATCAGTTGTGCCAATGTATTAAAAAACCATTATAATATTGGATTACAGGTCAAAGAGCACATGGTCATGTCAGCTCAGGATATATTAAACATTCCGAGAGCAGGGGTAATGAGGGTGAAAGGATCCTTTTCTCAGGTGAAGAAGAACATGACGATAGGCCCATCTTCCTGAGAACCACGTGACCTCAGGTGTGATTGAGATAATTATCTGGCAGCTGAAAGTGGAGTTTGGGAAGCTACTAAATAAATGACGCTGCCGAGAAAGAAGGAAGGTGTTTCTTTCCCTGGTCAAGTGGGGTGAGAGTGGTCAAGCAAGAGAGTAAGTTACACAGGATCTCACCAACGCAGGTGATGAGCTAAGACGGAACCAGGAGAGTTAAGTTTCTCTTCATCTTTCTGCAATCCTACATAGTTTTACATGACTTTGCCAGTGAAACATGCCTGTCAAAAATAACTGAATAAACCACGAGGTTTTAGAAGAAAAAAAAAATGACCAAAGCAGCATGGATGCTTCCTTCTGGCTTATTTTACATCAGTGGAGCTCCTTCATCCTTCAGCAGCATGCATGCACAGGTTCCCATATTATTGTGTATAGGCTTGGTACTCCCTCAGCACAGCAGGGACACAGCTTTTCCCTGCTTAAGGTCTGGCCATTACTTCCCATCTTCTGCTTCTAGGTCTGTTACTTACTAGCTCTGTGCTTTGGAAGTTACTTATCCTCTGTGAATTCAGCTTTCCAATCGGAATCATTGAGGATAACACCTTAGGCAGTGGTTGGCAAACTCATTAGTCAACGGAGCCAAATATCAACAGTACAACAATTGAAATTTCTTTTGAGAGCCAAATTTTTAAAATTTAACCTTATTCTAAAGCCACTTCTTCAAAATAGACTCACCCAGGCCATGGTATTTTGTGGAAGAGCCACACTCAAGGGGCCAAAGAGCCATATGTGGCTCGTGAGACGCAATTTGCCGACCACTGCCCTAGAGGGTTATTGTGACAATTAAATAAAATGATACCCCTCATATAAAAGGGCTTGTCACATAGAAGGCTCTCTGTTAGGATAAGTTCCTTTTCCTACACAATGGCTATAGGTAGCTATATGAGGAGGATAGAATAAACTAGTACAAAGGACAGCAACTTAAATATAACCAGAATCTCCTAAGTAACTCAAGACATCACTGAAGAAAAAAAGTCATGCCTAATTTTCTGCTTTCTCAGCATTGTGACTAATATTGAAGGGTTCTACCATGTATTTGCATGTTTACTTAAGTAACTGAGTATAAACAGAAAAACAATCACAGTCAAGAGTAGTTTGAAACTGGGAATACAAGGAGGTCATTGAGAGACAAGCAAACCATGATGGAGATGCACTGCCTGCCCCTTTCCATCCAAAGCAAGGACTAGATGGGGAAGGCCCAATCACAATGTTTGTTGGGAACTGTTTTCACTCCTCAGTTCAGGAAGAAATCAGCAGTAAAAATAACAATGGAAAGGTATCTTTTTTTTTTTTTTTTTTTTTGAATAGCCAACAACTTTTAGCAATGCCAAATTCAAAAGGTCTGCTCTAAATGGAAAAGGCTAGGCCAGGTGAAGAGAAAGGGGGAGTGCTTCTTTTAGAAATAATTCCATAAGCCCTACCTTTTGCCAACAGCCAGGCATGGGTAATCCATCTGGACCCTGTTTTAATGAGAAGAATAAGAATTCCTAAGGTCCCACAAAAGTGATCACACTTTATGATTCACATGCTCAGTGGCTTAAAAGATGGATTTCTACTCTTTTATTCATAGGCATATTTTTCTAATTATTAACCATTAACTCCCAATATAATACCTAATGTTAATTAAAATGAAGAAAATTAAATTTATTTTATTTTATTTATTTATTTTTTTAGGGAGAGTAGACATTTTGAAAATACATAAAGTATAAGAAAATACGCCTAATTTTGAAAAAGCAATTTACAAAGCATAGTGGTCTACTCAGTTCTACCTTGGGATAACAAATCTGTACTATTCCTTCTAATTTCATTTACATATATTTCACAATTATCTTTATTAAGTAAACTGAAATAACCTCACTTCCTAGTCACTATTGTCTATGGTTGAATGCATGATAATGATGAATAATCAATGATGAATCATTTCTATCTGAAGTTTATAGCTATTCAGAGGCTATTTTTCACTTTTCTATATTGAAAGCAGATATATTGGAATATATTTCATCAACCAAATTAAAACATAGGCAGCCTATTTATATCTTTACAGTAGAATGTTACTTATAGAATTAATCAACTTTTCTACTAAAATTCTTTAGAAGCCGGTTAACAAATTCTGAATAAATCTGGGATTCCTAAATGCTGCAGAATTTACTTTTACTTAAAGTGTGACCACTCTTCAGATACAAATGATATAAATAAAGCAGGGAGAGTTGGGATGTGATGAGGCATGCTTATGTTTCCACCCAACAAAATGATTGTAAAGTATTATTTATTATCATTACCAAAATAAAAGACTGGGCACTTCACATTGATATTTTCTAATTGTAATAATGAACTGAACACAATTTTTTTCCCATAAATGCAATCTCTTAAAGGGCTTGAGAAACAAAGTTATCTTTATAGAAACATGCTTATCATTAAAAAACAATATAAGAACATGCAGACAAATATTACCATCAACACTATCATAAAATGTTTTCCTTTACACCTCAGAAAATATAAATATACTTTTTAAAACAATGTAAAAAAACAACAACAACCCCTCTTTGAAATAGCTTTATAAGATATTTGGGGAAAATTCGGTACTGCCAGATTGGTACAAGGAGAAGGATCACCCAGTAGAATTTTAGATTTTAGTAGAAGGAGGATTTTGGGTTCATGCCAATGGAGATAAGGGAGTTCTGTCTACTTTAGGAAAGTGAGTTTCAAAAGGAAAGACCATTAAATCCAAAGGTTATGTGACAAAGAGGAGAGCGTGGGCTGTAGACTGTTATCTTCAGAAGCTCAATGAAGCTTGGTTTACTTCCCTACAGTCTCTTCACAGCAATCCCTAGAAATGGCTGCTCCTGACTGCAGAGGCTTCACTGTGTAGGTTTGGCCTTACAGCCAGACAGAAATTTAGTGGAAGAGGCAAAAATGTCTTTATTTCCTTTAGGGGGAAAAAAAAAGTTCAATTTAGAGGTAAAACCCAAAGTTATAGGCTAGCTGTGCCTTTCCATAGAAGCCTTTCATGTAATGTCAATGTAATCTTTATTTATTGACAAAACCCCAGAAGGCAGTCCCGGTTCATGTCAGTTGTGAGAACGTTAGGAGATTAGTGTCCAGTCACTGGTAGACATGCCTGCTCACTCCCTTCACTCTGCAGAGTCGAGGAAGGAGCCATTCATGCACATGCATGTAGTGTGTTTATCGTGTAAAGCTTGGTCCAGAAGCACCACTTTACACCCATAGAGATGAATATGTAATAAACAAAGGAACTGCATGCAGGATGGTAGGAAAGAGAGATACTGTACCAATTGGCAAGGGGCATCCAGCCCATCCAGGCCAGGCTGGCCTGGCTCCCCTTTTTCCCCCTTAATGCCACGGAATCCCTGTTTGTAAAGATTAACTCATAACGTTACTAACAAGAAATCACTTAGGCACAAATTCTGCTACAGAAACAACCACAATAAGAAGATGCTGGGAGAAGAGCAACTCTTAAGTGCAATGTAACATACGATTGGACAAAACTCCCCATATCATGAGGGATTGAGCCTCTGTTGAGAAGAACAGAACCATTCGGTTCCTCTTTGGAGCCTCCGTTCACGTTGGATCAACACTTGAGTGTTAAGAAACCAGGCAGAGCTGGTGGCCAGACCCAAGATGTGGAGCGTAACGGGATTACCCAGAGGGATCGTCCTAGTACCTAGTAGTCCGTGTTAAATGATCCCATCAGAATCCCACTTTTATGGGCCCCTTCAGGTTGCTCTTCTCCCAGCGTACCCCCCTCACACATGACATCTTGAGTCAGAGTTCCATGAGTCAGACATACCAACGGGCAAGGTGCATCTAATCCAGGGGCACCCTGTTCTCCTTTCTCCCCCTTGGGCCCCTTTTTGCCTTTCTTTCCCTTTTCCCCCTGTGGACACAAGGGTTTAAATAAAAGACAGGTTTTATTGGAGGGGGGAAATAATGGTGATGCAAAAGATGACTTAGCCATTAGAAGTCTGGAAGGGCATTTACCATTGTTTTCTGGTTTAGGTAAGGCATGATACTATAAAAATAACAGAGTGACCATGGATTCTGGGTAACGATATGTGGCATTTTACTTACGTTACTCAAAAATTTGATAGAAGGAGACCAAAGGCCAACCCATCACGAAGGAAGATCAGTGCTGACAGAGAGCCCGGTGCAGTGGATCTGGCGTGTGTGTGTGTGTGTGTGTGTGTGTGTGTGTGTGATACCAACTGTACTGAAGCCAGCCAGTGCAGGTGTGGTTCAGAGGAATAATGGATACTTCTCACAATTTTCAATACTTGTCAACTTGTTTTCCCCCCTAATCCTGTAATAGGCGAAAGCTACATTGAGCCAGAGAAAATAATATTAACAGCGTCTACCTTTTTGAAATATAAACAATTTTATGACATTATTTTTTGTAGTTCTCATTAAAAAAAATATTCAATGTATTAAAAATATGCTTCTATTTATTTTAACATTTGTTTTCAGGATACTAAGAGCAAATAATTTCCTTATCAAGTCAGATAAGTGAAGTTAAAAAGTGCTAATACTTCTTAGCAACACCAATGGGAGAAACGGACTTTTTTATAAACGCAGGGATCTTCCTCAATTCACTCTTATTGATCTCATGCCAGGTGCTCACAATGGTAAATGGGTTTCCAGCTTACTTACAATTAAGAATAAATTCTGTTGAGGAGAGGAAAAGCAGTTTGGACTCAGCTGCGCTAACACTAAAAATGAGGTAGGCAGGGTAATAACATAGTGGGGAGGTAGCCGTGGAAATTAGTGTTTAGGAATCAAGGTGAAGGCTGTGGAAACCCGCCGTGGGTCAGAGGGATGCTGGAACATAGGAAAGGAGGCAAAAGGAGGAGAAGGAAGGCAGGCGCCTCAGCCGTTTTACATTAACATAAACACCTGCATATTTACAGACAAGAAGCTGGCGAGTACAACATACAACACATACGCAGATTAGGGTATTCATTCTGCAATCAGGATGGCAGTTACGATAAAATGGAATAATTTCAGAAGCCAAACAACGTGAATATTCAAAGGTAAAAAGACACACACACAACAGAAATGTGAGATATGCATTCGAACAAACATATTTATGCTGACTGCGTGCGTGAAAGCTTCTCAGTTCTGTCCTGTGCGCCAAAAAGGTTGCAGCAGAAGGCTCAGAATCAAGCACACTCGGGCTGAAAAATAATCTACCCAGCAGAGCTATCACTCAGAATCGAAGGCCAGATAAAGAGCTTCACTAATAAAAAAAAGCTAAAGGAGTTCATCACCGCCAAACCAGAATTATATGAATTGCTGAAGGGGGTTCTTTTAGAAGAGAAAGTAAATAAAGATAAACACTATGAACAACAAATATGTAACTATCAACACGTGAATCTAAAAACCAAGGGAATTAAAAAAAAATCTTATGAACAATATTAACTGGTGAATATAATAGAATCAGAGGTATGGAAGGGGAGTGGACTGACGATTCTTGGGGAAAGGGGGAGAGAGGAGTATAGGAAGAGACTGAACATAAACTGTGCACCTATGGATGAGGACAATGGGGGGTGGGGAAAGGGCAGAGGGTGGGGTGGGAACCTGGTGGAGGGGGGAAAATGAGGAACTTTTGTAATAATATGAACAATAAAGATTTATTATTAAAAAAAAAAAAAGAACACTCGGGCTGTTGTATTATAATACTAGGGAAAGAGAGAAAGTCTGTGTGGTTTAGTTGATGGTGATTAAAGACAAAGCCTAGAGAAGCCAGGGTGAGATGGGAGCAGGAGTGACAGGAGGTAAGCTGGGAGGAGCGTTGAGGAGTAAATTGCTCACTCACGCGGAATGAATCAACATACTTCATCAGCAAATAACTCCAGTGCCACGACATGAAGTGGATGTAAACTTGTTTAGGTGAGTAGGTGTGACCGACACCAGGTGTGCTAGGTCTTATTCATTTAGCATTCACTTCATTGTTTGGTAAATCAACTCATATTAATAACTTAGCCAAACTGTGTTGTCATACTGATGCTGACTGAGATTTTGGGAATAATTTCTCAGTAATATTTTTGTAAACTTCAAGCGTTATGAAAAACAGACACAAATTTATTTTTAAATCCTCACCTGAGGGAATTTTTCCATTGATTTTTAGAGAGAGGGGAAGAGAGGGAAAGATAGAAATATCTATGAGAGAGAAACACAACAATTGGTTGCCTCTTGCATGTGGCCAGGCTGCAGAGGAGCCTGCAACCGAGGTGCGTGTCCTTGACCGGAATTGAACCTGGGACCCTTCACTCTGCAGGGCAACGCTCTATTCGCTGAGCCAAACCAGCTAGGACACAGACATGATTGTATAAAGAACAATATATCAGTGATATTATTAATCAACCTAGTTTTATAACACAAAACCATCTGTCCATCTGGGTATGAGCACATTAAGGGTTCCTGCTAATATTAATCGCTCATGTCAAAGAATGCTATACATAAAGTGTTCACACTTCGAATCTAATTTTCCTATAGATAAAACTTCTATACAATAGGAATCTGAAATATGAAAACATTTTGTATGGGTGATTAACATTACTCTGAGGATTACATTTATAGGTTAGTATTTTCATAAGTTAAAATGCTGGTATTTTCTTCTTTGTTTAAAAGAGCATTAAAGTAAGTATCCTCATAATGGGACATACTTTGGAGTAAGATTTTGCACTCACACTACCCACCAGGTAAATATCTAGAAAATCTATAATCTTTAAAGTATGCCTGCCTTGAGCTAAAGTAGCAGTACATTTATATTTTATGGTTAGAATTTGTAATTCAGACTAAAAGAATTATTATTATTATTATTATTATTATTATTATTATTATTATTATTATTATATATATTTTTTTTGCCTCAGCGGCTTTGCCTGTGAAATGGGAACAAAATAGCACCAACTTCAGGGGGTTGTTATGAGGTTGAAAAGACTATCACTTTTGGGAAAACACTTAAGTGCTCAATAAATGTAATCAGATTCATGGTGGTGGCGGCGGCGGTGGTGGTGGTGGTGCTTTTTACATAACCACTCACATGAGCTCTCTTACCAATGGGAAGCTAAGTCATACTTAAGGCCTGTAAAATACAGAGCAGTCTTCACACCTTTCTTTCTTTGAAAATTCTCACTTGGCCTTGCTTTTCAAAAGCTATGAACTTCCCTGTTAAAAAAATTGTTTTCCTGCTGAAACTGGTTTGGCTCAGTGGATAGAGCCTAAAGACTGAAAGGTCCCAGGTTCAATTCTGGTCAAGAACATATACCTTGGTTGCAGGCACATCCCCAGTAGGAGGTGTGCAGGAAGCAGCTGATTAATATTTCTCTCTCATCAATGTTTCTAACTCTCTAGCCCTCTCTCTTCCTCTCTGTAAAAAAATCAATACAATATATTAAAAAAATTTTTTTCCCCTAGGGTTTTGAAACAGTGTGTTGTTAAATAGATCAGGACATGATTTACTCTGAGAAATATAACTGAACTGTGAAAGTGCAATTTACATTTGAACTGTACAAAATTATTCTTCAAAGATCTAAGCAAAGGGGAGAGAAAAGGAAAAAAAAATGATTTAAAAAACCCATAATCTAAACTTTACTTTCAGACAGATAACTCTTTTGCCTGATTTTGGACCCGGTGTACCCTGGAGCTGATGGACCTGAGATGGAACCTAAACATGACCTCAGAAAATACACCAACATCTTCACTTAAAAATACCTACAGCCCCTAAAAGCTGCCTAATGGACTCACTGGGGTTTATCAATCACACTGCTTGTCTTCTATTTTTCCAGTTAAAAAAAACATCAAGACACAGAACATATCTCCCATCCCTTCCCTAGGAATGCTGGGAAGATAACTAAAGCTTTACTGGGTTGGGCGAACTTGGCCAGAAAACCATTACGGATTTGTGCTATTTCCATTTACGTTAATGTGTAATTTTTTCCCCCCACTTTCAAGAATCCCTGAACATTACATCTTTCAATACACTGGTGTCAGGTAGCTGAAAAATAGTAGCCAGGCTATCTGGGGATTATAATGTTTTCCTCCATATTAGACAGTGCTCTTATTGCTAGTGGCAAAGCCTTCTTCCTTCCCCTGTGAAGGGCCGAGTCCTCAGATCAGGCATCAGCGTGTTTTTGGAGCACAGGACGGAGAGGGGGCAGACGCAGGAAAGACCCGCCCCGCTGAAGCAAAGCAGACAGCACGACAAAGGTCAAGCAGGCACATGCTGGGAGGCAGAGGTCACCTTTTCTCCCTTTTCTCCTAGATCGCCCTTCTCGCCTCGTGGACCAGGGAAGCCCTAGGGGACAAAAAGCAAACCAAAGAGATCGACTGATGTAACGGTGGCACAATCAAGTGGAAAACATAAATTTAAAATGGCATGTTTCTGAAACAGAGACAGAAAGGAAAAAGGCATGTCAACAATCTCAAAACTTACAGAAAGTGGCACTTAGGAATAATAGTTTGCTAACATGACAACTATCTACATACTAGAGGTTTCTTGATTTTACTCCTAAGAAATGGACAGTGGAGAGAATATCAGGATCCTAGTTTGAACCCTGGGAAGATCACTGCTCTGTGTGGCCGAGTGCACACCTCTTACCTCAGCATTTTAGTCCTCTGACTAAAATGGGGTTAATGGTCTTTACTACACAACTGTTGGTGGGAGCATTGAATGCGATGGAATAAAGTACCAGAATTATGTCTGCACTTACAAGTTGCTCAATGAACAGTAACTACTATTACTTTTGCTATTGTTATTATTCACCTAATACAGGATAAGCAGTGTGCATTTCAAGAGGCATTTACGTTTGAGATTCTCTATATTTATAGAATTGTAAGATAAATAGGGACTTTCAGTTAAAAAATATGGTATAAGAGCTTTGAGGATAGATATAATACACCATTACTTAAGGGTAGCAGGTGAAAGATACTTTAATTTTATGCATATTTTAAAATAAGTGGTTCACATACAAATGTTGAGAGTGCTCTTAATTTGGGAAAGTATTTTAAAGTGGCACTATCAATTATCAATTATTAATTTTATACCAGATAATTACTTTTCCCCTTTATGTTTATTTTACACAAACACTCTTAGTGTATTTTATGCGTAGCAATTTTTGTTGTATACATATCTACGTGTACAGAAACAATAAGACATATCCTTGCTGTTATTGATGATGGAGACCATCAGCATCTATTATAATAGGAAAATGCTCATTGCATGCATTACTTACATCAAGACCAGGCTCTCCATCTTTCCCCTGCCAAAGAACCACAGTAGCTGTATTAGTGTCCTTAGGTTTCATGAATAGGTTATTGTTTTCATTAAGGCTGCCTGGACATGCAACACTAGTATTAGAACTACTTCACCAATGTGAAAAAGAACTGATTAGTATTACACATTTCCCCCCCACCAAATCAAGTGAAATGACTGTTAGTGTTGCTGTTACGAGTCATGAAAATGTTATCTTATATATCAGGTTAAATAGTTTGCTTTTTTGCTGAAGTTGAATGGTTGGTGTCCAAGTTATCAAGTCAGAAAGTAAATTGAAAGCAAAAATCATTTAGCTGATTTCAAAACGACACCAGCACTAATACAGTATGCAAATCAATGCTGCTTTAATTCTCTGAGCAGTGAGCTCAGACATGAGTAAAAAAATGTGGAAACTTTATTGTTAAATATAGTTTGGATTTGGCTAGAGTGCACCTTGTCCATAAATATTGAGAGTGTGGAGGTCACAACTTAAAACACTGTTTTTAAGTAAACTTTGTAAACGGATGATCCCCAAATATAAAAGGAGCCAGAGGCCATTGAGCAAGGATGATAAATGCACTCCATGGCGCAGACGGTCAGGGCAGTGGCCTATTGTGCCTCACAATGGATCCACCCAGAGTCCCTGGGAGGCTGCTTTGATTCCATCAACTGAAATCTATTTTAAAAACCAGCCTTCACTGTAAATCTATTTTAAAACCAGCCTCTCTTTTAGCATTGAAGTAATGATGGTTTTGGTTTATTATTTCAGTTCATAAAAACTGAAATCCAGGGTATGTGGAAGTGCATGGAGGTTACAAACCTCAATACAAGCATACACTTCTATTGCAGTCCTTCCCTACCCAATAGGGTCATTTATGGTGATCCCAAAAATATTGTCCTAAAGCAAACCCAAGGCCTCAATTTGAAGTCTGTGTCATTGAGAATTTTTATCCACATCCTATGTTCAAGATCCCCTGTGATGACAGTAACAGAGGGATCAGAGGCATCGAGTCATCGGAAACATCAATTTGAGAAATAATTAGCAAGAGTGGTTTTAGTAAGTAACCTATGAAAACAGATAAAAGCTGCAGGAAGCTGTTTTAAATAAAGCTCCTACTCCCACTTCTGGTACAGTGGCTTTCCAAAGAAGTGCCAGTCATGGGCGTCTGTCCAGTCAGATGGTATGGGCAAGGTGTCACTGGACAGGGGAAGTCCCACCTTTAGGCTGCTGCTGTCCATCCATGGACAAGCTCTGATCCTGTCCGTCTTGTGACGTGTGAGGGCATGAGTCTGTACATGAGTGGGAGGATGACACGAATGTGACCTGTCTCTGGAGGACATGGTGATACTGGGGTTGGAGAGAATGAGTGGACTGTTCTTGCTCCTGTAATGTGATTAGTTGGTCCCACAAGGGAGCGGTTACGTGTGTCAGTGACAGGTGATGTGTGCAAGCTGAAGGTGAAGACTGCACACGAGACAGAGAACTCACGGGCAGGCCATGGGGCCCTCTGGGTCCGGGCTCTCCCACAGCGCCTTTTTCGCCCTAAAACGAAAAGCAGAAAGTTCAAACCAGACACAAACACCAATATTCACACCTGTGCCCTAATGGCCCGTGTGTAAAGCTCCTGTTTGAATTATCACTCCATCAAAATACCGAAGGTTCAGCCTCTGCCAGAATTGCCATTAATGATACAGTAAAAGAAATCTACGTGAGACGATTTTATTAACTCACTTTATTATAGAAAGAGCATAAGACTTCCATTGCCTGGTTGTGCCAAAGGACCAGCATGTCTAGGATGCTGTATTAGGGTTTCTTGGGCATTAATGTGAAACGTTTATTTGTTACAAATTATTTTAAGTTATTATTTATTTATGTATTTATTTATTATTGTTACTTCTCACCCAAGGATATTTTTTCCATTGATTCGTAGAGAGAGTACTGGGGAGGGCGGGAAGAAGGAGGGAGGGAAGAAAGGAGGGAGGGAAAGAGAAAGAGAAAGGGGGGGGACAGAGAGAGAGGGAGAGAGAAAGAAAAGAGAGATAGATTGATTGGTTGCTTCCCACTAGGGCTGGGGATGGAAACTGCAACCCAGTTACATACCCTTGACCGGGACTAAAACCCTCGACCCTTTGGTGTATGGGCTGATGTTCTAACCACTAAGAAAAACCAGCCAAGGCTTAAATGATAATTTTGAATGTTTATAAAGAATAAGAGTAATTGGAGGTGGTCCCATGAATATGAAATAATTGCAACGACAGAGAAAAAGATATTCTGCGTTTCAAGTAGAAAACCCCCTCTGCCCCCATCTCCAAAATTAATGTGTCTGTCAGGACTTAGTGTGAAAACGTCAGGAGTCACGATGATGTTTACGTGAGTGGTCAGACAGAAAATGTTACCTCCTTTTATCACACTTCTGAAGAAGTTCAAAGGCTAGTAAATCTTTCTCATGAGTAAAGTGCCAAGTTCAGCTGCTAACTGTGAATGCAGATCCATGTATTTTGCTGTGTTTGTCTATACTCCAGATGCCCATTGGAGAACATTTAAAGTCCCGGTTAACAATCTTCTTTAATCTGAATGTGGGGATTGGTGAAGCTAATTAGCACTGTCACCCAGAAGCACATAAAGAACAGAAGGCCACTGAAAATAAATATGATAAATACTTTTGAACTTTTACTCAGCATTCCTGAAATAGCAGCATTTGCTTTCAGGAAAGTGGCAAGCTTTGAAATAAAACACATTTATTTTTATTATATTTATTTATTTAAAAAATATTTTATTGATTTTTACAGGGAGGAAGAGAGAGGGATAGAGAGTCAGAAACATAGATGAGAGAGAATCATCGATCAGCCGCCTCCTGCACACCCCCCACCAGGGACACGCCTGCAACCAAGGTACATGCCCTTGACCGGAATCGAACCCGGAACCCTTCAGTCCGCAGGCCGAGGCTGCTCTATCCACTGAGCCAAACCAGTCTCGGCTGAAATAAAACACACTTAAATTTGAATTCCTAACTATCTGTATGGCCTTAGGCAACTTTCTTTTTTAAATCCTCACCCAAGCTTATGTTTTTCTTGATTTTAGAGAGAGAGGAAGAGAAAGAGAAACATCGATTGGTTTTCTCTTCCTAGGCACCCCAAACAGGGATTGAACCAACAACTTAGGTCTGTGCCCTGACCAGGTTTTGAACTCAAAACCCTTTGTGTAGACTATGCTCCAACCAACTGAGCCACTGCCTCCCCTCCAGTCTCTCCCCGCCCCCCCCAACCCCCACAATCAGGGCTTAGGTAACTTTCTTAACCTTTCTGTGCCTGTGTTTCATTGGCTGTTAAATAAGAATAATAATACATATTCTACAAGAATTTTTCTGAAGACAATTTTTCTGATTATAAATTATGTAAGTCACTGTTGTCAAATATTGAATAATATGTCCCAGAAATAGTAGCTGTCATTATACAATAAAAGTTCTTATTTTTTTAATAAAAAAAAGGCTCAGCAACTCAAAGAGCAACTCAAATTAATTCAAAATAAATTTATTTCATTTTGAGCTGGCATGTTATTTATGATTTTTAAAATGGTGTTGGTGGTGGTGGTAGTGGTGATAGTGGTGGTGGTGTGGGTATGTGTAGTGGGAGGTAGGGGTTTAAAAGGAGAGCTCACATAGCCTGGGTAGATCTAGTTTTAAAAAACTCAACAGATTAGAGTAGATTTCATTTGAAAAGGCTCCTCAGATTATTTTGATATACCTACCCCCTTCTTCCTCCTCTGATTGAGCACTTCGGCTTTATTTTGTTTTTGAAATGAATATACCATGGCTTATTTGAATTAAGCTGTCACTCAAACATTTGTGTGTGGAACTTCTCACATAGAATTGGCTTCCCCAAATAATTACTTTAAGCTAATAGCAATCCCCTTCTCTCAGCAGTGACTGGTTCAGGAGTGGACAGGAGGTGTGGGGGAAGTCAGCTGGGACGGAAAGAGGCACGAGAGGGGAAGGTCTGTGTATTCTGCCCATGGCTCCTGGAGGGGGGCGGGGGAGGTCAGTATCACGGGAACCTGGTTGCCAGTGGTCAGAAGACAAGGCCAGCAGGTGGGAAGGGCACAGAAGCAAAGCCGAGAATCCCTCCTTGAACATTTTTTTGTGTTTTTTTAAAAATATATTTTATTGATTTTTAACATAGAGAAAGGGAGAGAGATAGAGAGCTAGAAACATCAATGAGAGAGAAACATTGACCAGCTGCCCTTGACTGGAATCGAACCTGGGACCTTTCAGTCCGTAGACTGACACTCTACCACCGAGCCAAACCGGCTTCGGCTTAAACGTTTTATTATATAAAACAATAAAGGTCTTCATTGGACAATATTTTGAGTTGGGGGGGTCTGTCATTTAGAGTCAAAAGCATCCTAATGGTCTCCATTTGAAAACTTCCAGGAGTGAAATATTAACACATAGGGATTGGAAATGTGCAGCTTCTTCTCCTGGATTAAATAATTCAAAAAAAAAATAAAAAATAGAAAGTCTTGCAGCTCTCCAATTTAACAACTTCTGCAGCGCTCCTAAGAAGTTACAAGGCCAGACGAAGAAATCAGCTGAAGACAGGAACCTCCTTGAGCTTGAAGAGCTGAATACTAATGGTGCCAGTCACGCTTTTGACAGTTTCTGAACAACACTGTCAAATGTCTGGCTTCCTTTAGGCTGGTCTAATTTTATTCAGGCTCTCTCATTTGCATGTCTACACTAAAGAAATTATTCTAGAATGGCCCCCTTTCCCAATTCCTCCCGCTTTAAAACTTGAACCTTCTTCAAGACAAGTCCAGATGGCCCCTCCATCAATTAACACCGAGAATCACACTCCAGTTTAGCACTCTGGGTGAGGGGCACTTAGGGAGTACGGATATCCGACCCAGTTAAGATAGTTAACGTGCTGAGTAAATAAATACAAGTGTAACACTTTACACTGCCCACCATTTGACTTCAACTATGCCTTCAGAAATTCTTAGAGATTTCATTTGCTCTCCCGGTTAATCCTGCCCCAGGGCCGAGACCTGATACTCTTGTGACGGTGTGGAGCGGTCGGAAGTAGCAGCTGATTTACCAAATGGTAAACCCTCTTGAGCCCCAGGGCCTCCTGCCAAAAGACTACTTGAGATTTGCTGCTCCATTTTTAGTACATGCACTGCATTTCTTGATACAGTGCTCGAGTGGGTCAGCAGTGGAAGCTCTTCGCTTTTAAATATTTTTTAATGAAGAAGAGCTTCCTAAGTCATTGGCTTGATCTCAGAAATAAGATCAGATAAAGGTAGTTGCAGATTCAGACTATGTATGCCTCTAGGAGTCGCCTCCTTCTAGAAGCATTCTTGGACGAAGTCAGCTTCCCTCAGCACTGTATGGCAGTCTGGGCCTCTCTGTATTCACTGTGGCCTCATTATCTGGTTATTTTTCTCTCAGGGATCTTTTTTTCCCCCCCTCTGCAATTAGGTTGTAAGCTCTTCTAGATCAGGGAAAATAGCTGCTTCCTTTACAGTCCTGAATAAATATATGTCGTGTATTAGTAAACGATTATGGGATGAGGAATTAATTATAACGGCATTCCATTCACTGGAGCAAAATAGACTCTACATAAAAAGGAGGTGTGTGCTTCCATTTCATACTGAAAGCGCACTGTGCTTCATACACCGTAACATGTGATAAATATTTATGGAATGAATGAATTCAATTTATGGAACATGGTATTGGGATGTACGCCAAAGAAATCACTATGTGGACAAATTATCCCAGATTGGTGAAACTCTATCTAGTTTTAAAAGACCACAAGTGAATTATTTCCAACATTCTGAAGCCCTTGCTCTTAGGATCCTTTCCCCCCCCATCCCATCCTGGATGGTGGGGAAACCGATGACACAATTCCACTCAGACACACAAGCACTTCTAAGTGTTCCAAGGTGAGGAAAAGGGAAAGTGGGAGAAAAACAGAGAAAGAGGGAGAGGAGTTCCAGACAGATGACCAGCTGCTGATGCGGCAGCACATTTTTGTGTGTCAGATATTTATCTTCCACTCTGACTTTTTTTTTTTTTTTTCCTTCCCAAGGATATGGAAACATGGCCTAGCAATAGTGAGGTTAGTGAAAGGTTTTTGTTTTATAATGCACTGAAATTATTTCCGTATGGTTAAAGGAAGACAGTCTATTCTTTCTTTTTTTTAAACAGCAGCATGTATAACTGCATGGAAAAGAATATGTAGATTTTTGTCATCTTCTTTACAAAGTTATAGCTTACTCTCAATGAAATAAAACTGCTTTCTGTGAAATGATCAGCCAGAACATGGAGTCATTGAAATGCTAGCCCTACTGACTTCTCTTCACCGGGTGAAGGCTAAGAAAAAATGCCTTCTGATGGGTTCTGAGCTATTCATGTCAGCTATGTGAATGTATGCACTGTTTTCTATTAAGGCAGCTGTATTCCATGTTATGCTCTGCTGTTCTCTCTCTCAGAGTGAAGACTCTGAATAGAACATATGATCATATCTATTTTCCTTTAATAGTAGATGGCCCTTTGTTTCTTCTGGGAAGTTCACACTTTAGTTTCTTACTTAGGTCACAGCTTAGTAACCTCAGGAGCAACTTACTCTTTCTCCTTTGGGACCTGCAGGGCCATGGGGTCCCATGGGGCCATCTGTCCCCTACAAAGAGATAAAAGATAAGATCATATGAGACATATCCCAGGGCTGTAAGAAAAGCAGTCATAATGTACCCCGAGCTTTCCTGGGTGAGTGACGCCCAAGACTGTCAGCAAGACAACTCATCTCCTTTCAGAGTGCTTTATGCTTGATTCTTTCAGGCCAGTGGTTTTCAAGAATCTCATGCAAGCGGGATGAATTATTTAACTGCCTGTTTCAATGAAGGGCCCACACAAAAAGCCGTAGATCATCTTTAATTACACATCTCCTTCCTGACTACATGGAGCATCTTCACTCTGCCTCCCCCAAGCTTAAAAAAACCTGCAGTTGTTTTTTTTTTTTTTTCTTCACATCACCTCTTGTTCACATTCATTCTCCGCCCCTAATGCCAGCCCTACTTTCCTTGGCCACCGATGCTCCAAGGCCTTGTTTTCAGTTGCTTCAAAGGCTTGAACAGTTACACAAATGAACAAAGTTAAATGACAACGGTGTTCAAACCAAGCTTTCCTGAGCTCCATGTGGAGCAGCAGGGGGCTTCAAGCGAAGGAATGATTGTTGCAGGTCCTGCTGCAGTGGCTGAAGTCACTAGTAAGGTGACCAGACGTCCCTCTTCTGGCGGGACAGTCCCGATTTTTAACAATTTGTCCCGCGTCCTGCGGCCTTTTAACAAATTGTTAAAAATTGGGACGGTCCCGCCCAAAGCGGGACGTCTGGTCACCTTACACTAGGCTTACAAGGCACAAACCAGGCAGCTGATGACTGAGCGGCATCATTGCCTTCAGGCCTCTTGGTTTAGGATCAGGATTTCTGTGGCCCACGAGATAGCATTTGAATGGATATAGGATCCCTGAGGCTCAAGGGAAATAATGGCTGCCTGAGGAAGGTTTTTAGAATCGAAGAGCTAAAAATTTCTTTTTGATTCTTAAAATTGTAGCAAGGACTTTAAGTATGTTGGCTCATTTTCAGGGAGACTACGCTTAGGTTTGCAAAGAATTTGTCATAAAATCTGCAAATGGGACTATTCAGCACACACGTTTATAGTGTTTTTATTTCTCTCCTACTGCGCTTGCTTATTCTCTTACAGCCTTGTGATGTGAAGTAACTGAGGGTTTTAAGTTCATTCTAACGTTGGTGAATTCTCACCATCTTAAACTAATCTTTTACTGCCTGAACTCAATGTTCATCTTCAGAAAACTTGTAAATACTGAGTCCCTGCAGCTGAAATGTAAGAGGTGGAGCTGTTAAGAGCCAGAGAAAAGAGACAACAACAGAAGACAGACAATTCATCTTGATGAACAAAGATTTTGAAAGTTAGTCCAATGAAGAAGTTACATTTCTAATATGAACATAAACATGAAAGGAGAAACAACTTAAAAATAAATCCACATTATTTTAATCCCGTCAGAAGGTCTTTCTCCTGGAATTCCAGGAGATGTCATTGGTTATGGAGAAATCTGCCAGGATTCTAAGACAGTGATGCCAATTGGACTGCTATTCTTGTCACCCAGCAGGTAATCCAGACCTGCGCTCCCATTTCAGAAACATGTTCTGTAGTTAAGGCTGTACTTCCCATAGAGCCTCAGCCCATGCTCTGTCCACCTTCCCCTTCTCTGCCACTGTCTTTGCCCACCTCCTCATTTTACCCCAATCCTAGGTACCCTCATCTTTTAGTGGGAACACATGAGCCAAAGGGGTCTGTCCGGAAGCACAGAATTCACAGCCACAAACGCGCTGGAGCAAGACAAGGCACTGACTCACCCGGGCTCCTGGCTTTCCGTCTAAGCCAGATGCTCCCTGTGTGATTTGGTTGGTAGCAGGGTTGGTGGGTGTAACACGAATGACAAGAACAGAGATTAGTATGAGGTACCAATGAACAAGTGTAACACTTCAAACAACATAATCCCCAGTCACAGGGTTCTGGGATGAATATCACATTGCTACAAATTGTTAGTTAAAAAAATAACAAAAAAACAAAAAAACAAAACACAGGACAAAAAACACCCCCATAGACGATGGCATTTTTATGACATTTCCATTTGACAAATTCTTATTTAGAAATCAAGGTAATGAGATTCATAGAGTGGGCTTTAAAGTAGTTACAGTAACAGCCACAGGCTGCTAATATCCATATGAAATTTGTTTTCTAAAGACTGTACTAATTCACAATGTTTTTCTTAAATTCTGAAGGAAAAATAATGGCCGATCTCCTAAGAAAGGGCTCATTATAATAATCAATCAAGGATAGCATTTCGAGGAGAAGAAAAAAACTCTAGTCTTGCTTGTTAAAATAGCCTTTACGAATAACAAATGCAGAACTTGAACATGCCCGGATGACTGTGGCTTTTATTGTACATGAAGTCATTGATTTCTGGGTTGTTCTTATTGTGTTCACATTAGTTACCACTAGAGGGACTTCTAGGAACAGGAAAAAGCCAGAAATAGTTCATGAGCCCAAACAAAAAATAACTGTCCCAAACAAAACTGTTCCTCGACTCACTTGAAGTAATCAAATAATCATTGCAGCAAAGTCTGGATGGGAAATGTTTCAAAAATCCAGTGCAACGCATGCTCTCCTTCACCTTGGACTCCAGTGGATGATTAAAAGATGACATTTTCAATGCTTATTTCAAGAATAAGCACAATTGCTTCTTTGACATTTATTTATAGTCTTTTAAAAAATTGATTAGATGAAGGAGTATTAAGGAAAGACAAGGCACCAGCCCTATAAATTCTATTGGCAAGGTTGCAAAACTATTTTCCCATTTTATCCTTCAGATGTAATTAATAATACAAAACAAAAGAAAAAAGTATATTCCAGCTGCAAACTCTACCAATGATGCTATACCATATATATTTTGGGTAATTTTAGATTTTATTTTATAATTCATTCTGTATAATTTTATTATGAGGATTATCACTGCAAAAACATCTTTAACTAGCAATGATTGAAAACTTTAAAAAGTGTGTTGTTTGTTTAATGATAGCATATGCAGAGCTTTCTGCTAAGTGTATAAAGATGATCACTAGTCCTAAATTTAAATGATACCGAAATCCAAATTTTTTTTTTTTTTTTTTTTTTTTGCTTTTTGGTACTTTGCTCAGTACTATTATTATAACAATTAAATAAAATAAGGAGATGGTAACATTTTTGCATTGATAATATATTCATCTGGGATGTGAATTAATGACTCACGTATATTATAGAGGTTTTATTCTGAGGTCATCCATTAATTTAATTGGTATGATTTAACCTATGCTCTACCATTCATTCAGTAAATGAATATCTATTAACATCTACTATATGCCTGATTTATGTAAGGCACTGGTTATCAAGTAGAATACTTACTACTTAAGATATAGTACCCACAGGGAAAATAAAATAACTGGTAATCAATTTTTATGTGTAAAATATATGTATAAATTGTTTCCTATTACCAATTTTATGTCATTTTAATTATGTAATTTATAATGTTCTTTATTGACTTTTGTTGGCATTCACTGAATAGACAGCATAGTAAAAGCTTGAAACTACAACCTTATAGTCAATAACCATTTAAAAAAAATTTTTTTATTTGTGGAAAGAAGACTAGCATGAGGTGCAGGTAAGGTCAAAATCCATTTTTCCCCTTAAAAATAAAAATCTCTAAACAATTGCAAAATGCTTCTCCCATCCTGTCCACTATTGCCACAATAATCTCTTAAGAGAGCATTTCCAAAACAAACAACACACAACATTTAGTCCTCGATGTGACTGATTAATGTCAGGAGCCACAGCACTGACTTCATGCCATCAACAAAGGCCAATTGCACACCTGCCACCAACAGAGGGCTACAGTTTGCGTATCAAAGGAGAAAAAAAAAATTTGAAGGAGAATTTAAACTGTACTAAATTATTAAAAAAAAAAAAAAAAGTCTGGGAGAAATTATGAGCACAGCACATTTGCAAAGAGGAGGGTGATGGGAGGAGAACTGTCAGCTTTAACAGAGGAAGGCTGGCATGTATGTAACTGAAGGACAAAACAGCGTTGGCATGGTGTGTAAGGGGTCTTGCTCTTACAGGAGAGCGGGCATCAGGGAAAGGAACTGGGGCTGGGCTCTGCCCTAACAAACACAGTGTGTTCTCTAGTCACAGAAGTCTCAACTAGTAGCAGTTGCCAAGCACACCAGAGGTGCTGCTGAAGGGAGAAAGAAAAGTCTGAGATGTGCACTGAAATGGAAAGTTTTCTTTACTTACTGGAAGACCAAGGGGTCCTCTGTCACCCTTTTGACCTGGTTCACCCTTCAATCCTTTAACACCATTTAACCCTGGTTCACCCTAAATGCAAAAGCAAACGCCAGTTTTGGTTGCTATCACGGGCGCTTCAGCCACGAGAGAAGAGAGCCAGGCTCTCGGAAATGGTTGCAGATTCCAGTTTTAGGTAACAGCTGAGTCAGGCTAGATTTGTCTTGCAACAGTTCAAAGTTAATTTCTAAAACATTACAAAATTAATAAACTGAAATGGACAAATAATATTCTAGGAAACAAAACACCCTAGAAAGTATGCTCTTTAGAATCAAAATATATATATAACTGAGTTCCTGAAATTTTCACTTGTATATCAAGGAAACTGGTGTGGTGCCACATTGTTCTGACCAAGCAAATCAGACAGTCAGTGGAGGATGCTGAAGGAGATTCAGTAATAAAAAACCTACTCTGCTGCAATGGAAAACTGGAATATGCAGGACAGTGTTATACACAGACATTTTAAGCCTTTAAGCATTTTGCCCAGGGGAATGAGCTAAAAATATAGCCGCTGATGTTTGAAGTAATGCCATTTAGTGAGTCCTCATTTACGGACATTGCCAAGTCAGGCCCCTACATGGATTAATCAATAGAGTTGAGAGCAAATATCCGATCCCAGAAGAAAACATGAAGATCACAGAACTTACATGTTGTAAGTTCGTCTGCCCAATGTTTAAATGGAGAAGGTTTGAATTTAGTTTAGGGTTACATTACAAAAGCAATGAGAAGTGATAAATTTTGTTGACTCTTTTTTTTTTTTTTTTTAAATCTAAGAATACAGTACACCTATGTTCTATCAGCAGCAGGATGTTAGAAACAGAGTTTAACTGGTTCACTCTTTAACTTTTAAGCACAGACATTAACTTCATCAAGAAAATTTGAAAGCCTTGAAGATTATTTCAGTCTCCAAGCCCCATCGAGTCTTTCTGGGTGGGGCAGGAGGGAGGAGAGACCATGTCTACATGGCAGGAGGGTGGGGTTGTCCCCATTGGTCTGATGATGAAATCAGTGTGGTGCTTGTTAAACATAAAGAGCCTGGGGCCCCAGGCAGACCTCAGTAGCTGCAGGAAACGTGTATTTTTAATAAGCCTGCCAGGTGATTCCTCTCATCGGGAAATGCTGGAAAACAGATCATCCTTAGTACCATGTTACATATTTAAACTTTCAAAGGGGTCACAAAGGAGTGGACACATTTGGGCAAAGTCCTAATGACATTTTGGGATTCTAAAGAGAGGGTGATCACAGTGCAGTCACTACAGGAAACCTAAATATTTGGTAAAGAATGAAACTGGGAATGTCATAGAGCTAGAGTGAATGTGAGGTCAAGGCCAAGGCGCAATAGTCTACTTCAGCTAACTGGTCTGAGCTTGAGATAGCCGGCTTTGCATGTGTGTGGTCTTCCAGCGAGTGGTCTTGAGATGATGGATAGGCAGGAAAGCCTTTGAAGGCTGTGAAATTTTTTTGGTGAGGAATCATGTATTGATAGGACTGGTCATTAGCTTAAAAGGCGAGTTTATAAACAGTCTAATTCAGTGGCAAAAAGACCAAATTTCAATGCTGGACCTAAATTCTAGTCTCAGATCTGTCATTTAATTGGGGTAATTTGGGGTAAATTACCTAAATTCCCTGGGCCTATAGTTTATCATCTATAAAATCATGTAGTTAGGATAGGTATTCTATGAGGTCTTTAAAACTATAAAAATTCTCTGAAGTCTATGATTTAAGTATAATTAAAGTTAAGCATAGGCAAAAAAAAAATCATTGCATTTGAGATATCAAAAGAATCTTGGGCATCTATTAATCTAATGGCGGGATATATGAATCATGCAAGGAATTAAAAACACAGTCTTGCTGAAACCGGTTTGGCTCAGTGAATAGAGCGTCAGCCTGTGGACTGAAGGGTCTTGGTTTCGGTTCCGGGCAAGGGCATGCACCTTGGTTGCGGGCACATCCCCAGTAGGGGGTGTGCAAGAGGCAGCTGATTGATGATTCTCTCTCGTCGATGTTTCTAACTCTCTATCCCTCTCTCTTCCTCTCTGTAAAAAAAATTAATAAAATATATTTTAAAAAAATAAAAAATAAAAATAAAAATACAGTCTTACTGGCTTTAGCCTGAGTTATTATGATTGGGCTGGTCTTTAGGGGTGCTTTAACATCCAAGGAGAAGCCAAGGGGAAGAAAAGAGGCCCAGAGAAGTTAGATAACTGCTAAGATTACAAAGCCAGTAGATGGGCTCTCTCTTCTGACCCTCCAGAACAATGCTTTGACCCCAAATGATAATCCATGATTCTAAGACACTACCACTTACAAGAAGGCAAGGTAGTCTACAAGGAATAAAGAGGCATGCTCTTGTCCTGAGCTTGGCTGAGCCACCTGCCTGACCTCGAAAAGGAAACTCAGGTTGCAGGAGTCAAACCAGTATCTCCGCCACTGCTATAGCTGGTGAGTCAGGGGAAAGGCTGGGCTGCCTTTCTGACTCCTATGCCAAAGTCGCATTATGTGTTCTCTCACTCTCACTGTTAAAATGCACCAACTCCTTCCTGAGGAGCTTTCAAGGGTACGCGCACCTTCTCTCAAACAGCCTCGAGGACTAGCTAAATTTTCTGTTCAGAACAAAGCGTCAAGTCAGAAGATAACAAAAACAACTGGCACTTATGGGTGCTTATCAACAACGGCACCAGATGTTCTGCTATTAAATCATCACAGCCCCCTGTGGCAAGTTACCTCGCTGAGTACATGAAGGAACAGAGAGGGCAAATGATCGGCCCAAGGTAACAACATGTCGGGGCAGAGCTGAGATTAGAACATAGTTCCTCATTATATGTGTCCCCGGAAAGAAGAAGTTTGTCTTTCAGAGCTCATTCTCATCCTCAAAGGTGTCCTCTTGGTTTACTGGAAAGCAGAGAACAGGTGGAGAGACCATCTTCACAATACATGCTGCACCCATGCTAAAAAGGAGGGCCATTCTCCACTGTTCTCTTGTTAGTCCAGTGTGTGTGTGTGTGTGTGTGTGTGTGTGTCCACGTATGGGATGTGATCTTCTCAGTATAGCACACCTGATACACCCCACTCCATGCTAGGGCTAGTCTGAGAAGCTCATCAGATTTACTTCTAAATGGTTGATTTTGAGTATATTATGATTAGTGACTTCAGAAACTTACATAATAACAAGGGGGAAAAAAGGAACATGAGGAATAATTCATCTCCAGGTGATACCACTTAAATTTGTTCTAAGTCATTCTGTGTTGTGAGAGTTAAACATCTGGATACTTAAAGGCTTAAAGATTATCAACATTCTTGACAAGTAAATAAGACAGGACAGACATGCTTCCGTCATGCTTCTCCATGATTAACAAGGAAACAGAAATCAAATAATCAAGGGATTTGTTAGATTACCTTTGGTCCAGGAAGTCCATGGGGTCCCTGAAAATGAAAAACACAGCTTTTAATTAAGAACCTAGTCACTGTTTCCCAGCAGAAGTGATTACATAACGTAACAAAAGAGATGTAAAACAAGAATCTCTTTGTTTGAGCTGTAGCTCCAGCAGGCAAGTGGATGTTAATACCTAGCAGAACTTCCTTCCAGCTTCTGGTTTGCTTTGTCATAGGAAATTTATTAATAGCAATTCTTTTTTTATTTTATTTTAAACAACAACAAAGATAATGGTTTACTCAATCATTCCATTGTTTCATGGCCATTACAAAAGCTAATACAGAGGAAAAAAATATCAATAGTAATTTCCATTCAATGGGAGATACAATAATGAAAATCCCTGTCATTTCGTAATATTCTTTCTAAAGAAACTCTTGCCAGAGCCATGGCAAGAAAAGTACAAGGAACATAGTGTTTAAGCATGACAACAGCAATTCTTTATGTAACTACCTGAGAGGGGGAGGGTGGAATCTGAGAGAATGATAGGAAAGAAAAAAAAATAGGGAAAGAAAGTATTGTGAATCCACACTGCTCCTATCTCTCAAATCCCCATTAGACATATAGGTGGCAAATGTGAGATACAGTATGAATGTATATGGAATAGAGATAATCTTAAAAGACAAACATGTAGCAAAGGGAAGTCCCAGACTTTAAATATCAGCGAAGAGGGAACCTTTTCCATTGCTAACTGCTCTAGTCCCAGGTATTGGGGACTCTAAGGTAGAAAAAAATGCAAAGGTGATAGTCAATTCTGCAACTCTGTTCCATAATTTATTTAATTTAAGAATAAGGAAAGGATCTAATGCAGTAGTGGGAAGTATTATTTAGAATGTACTTATTTTAACAAAGATGAATTCTTCAAGGTTCTTGCAACAAATGTTTAGCAATGTAAAGAAGTCATCAAGGCTTTCCCCTGTATTTTGTGGGAAATCTAAATAGAGGGACTAATTAGCCAACTTAAATTAACTAAAGGTTACTGTAAAATTGCTTTAAAGTTTTCAAATAATTTACATAAACTATTGGAAAGAGGAGTATTTAAGTACCCATCAGTAAAATCATATGACAGTAGGAAAATTTTTTTAACAAGCAATACATTGAAGTTTGTTACATTCATGTACATTCATGTACATTTTCTCCTTAGATAAGTTGTGAATAAACATTTTCAGGAAGTGTCTGATATTTTATCAAGTATTCTCATCTTACTTTAGTATTGATTTGAAATTCTTTTAAACTAATTAATTTTAGGAAATGCACAGAATGCAGTGTTGTTTAATCTTCTCATTTAAAGTGGAGGGCGTATAAGCAACCAAAATATGCCATTTGCTCAATTCTTAAAAAACTGTTTAGTTTTTAAGGAAAGGTTATTTATAATTGTTTTGTGGGTGAAATAGGAAAGGCAGTAAGAAATAGATGAGTGGGTCTGGACTATGCTCTGTGGCTTGTATCATTCCAATGAAGCTCTTTCTTAGATTTGTATTTAATCCGTATGATTGAAGACATGTGGTTATTGAGACCCCCTCAGAGGTGAATGTGATTTTAGAGGCTGCTGGACTTGTCCCCATCCTGCCCTGCTCGAAAGCACTGAAAGCATCTGACTTCCATGTTCTACCCTTAACACACCGTCATTAGACAGACATTGGGAGAATTACACTGGCTTAATGGCTGTCTTCTTCACGGGACCTAAGTTCCAGGAGGACCCGGCCCCCATGCTGATCCCTGAGGGATCCCTGCAGGAAGGACTCTTCCTATCGAAGTACCACAAAGTGCAAAGGAAAGGACTTAACAATGCTTGTCACCTGTGGAAGGGAGCTTCAATTGTTACCACATTATTTTGTAAATGTTCTCATTGAACATTTCATTAAAGGATCTTAATCTTCAAAGTTAGGTAAAAACTTTCATTAATGGCTACAATTAATAATCTTATTTTGCTACCAATGGCCCAGAACAGTGCTTAAAATGATTTTTTGATGTTCATGTTGTAAGGCTGGAAGTAAAGCTTGCCAAATCTGTCTGTCTTCAACTTTCCTATCACAAAACTACTCTATCTCTTTCCAACAGACGTGTTTGGGGGACTGAAAGACAACACTGTAAAGTCAGTACATCTCAAAGCACCTCGTATTTTCTGTCCATTCCACAGAGAGTAGCAGGAAATACAAGCTGGCTGCTTTGAGGAATGCACTCATGTTTTCTCTAGTAGCATGCTCATAAATAAATGACTACATTCTGGAGAGAAGAGAGACTTACCATGGGGCCTGGTGGGCCATGGGGACCTGGTGGGCCTGGTGGGCCTATGATCTGTATGTCAAAAAAATAAACATGGATTTGGTTACTTCATTTAGATAAGGCGGTTTGGCTTGAATCTTTTGCTGGGATTCTGCTAAGGCCATTAATAGCTGGAGGGAAAGAAGGATACTGGAAGAAATGATGTGTTTGATTCTCTAGGTTTAGAAACCCCTTTATGAGAACCAAAAAAAAATTCTTTAAAAAATACAGTTCTTTTACAAAAGCCAGAATAAATCAAATGTACATTAAACAAAAAGGAAGCAACTGATTTCCAAGAAATGCTATAATGCCACAACCACTGTTAAAACTCTCCAATATTTCACTAGGCAACAATAGGGCTCTGGAGGGAAAAAAAAAAGAGCATATGTTCTATATCCACAAAGCCCTGCCCACAAGAGTCGTGGGAAAACCATTGATTCCCCTTCCCCCCACCCCCAGGATTAGACAGTCCTCTGAAAAATTGCTTCTAACGGAAACCTCTGAGGCATTTCGTCTCTCATTGTTCAAGGCCAACAGATATTTATTCTACCGCTTGACAAACCGAGAGGTTCATGGTTTTTCCACTGTTGATAAGACATCTGGCAGAGGTTGAACTAGATGAATAATAGGCCCGTTTTGGAGTTTTTCAGGAACCATGGACGTTCGGCCACCATGGACTTACAGAAGGGCCCTGAGGACCAGGCAATCCAGAGTCTCCTTTTTCTCCTTTCATCCCATTGGCACCCTACAAATGACAGTGAGAGAGTGGAGCTGGTCATGTTATTTGCAAAGAGTAAGGAACAACTGAATTCTCTCCCCAAACCCATCATCCTTTTGAAATTTGTATATTATACACATGATATGTAAAAGAACGATTTATCCTCCTACAGTCTAGCTTCTCCAAATGCCTAGACTGTGGGTGATATGTGAAATAAAATACAACATAAATATAAACCACATTAGGCTTGATTGGTTCAACTTATACATTGCTGAACATATATTATAGGTGTTACATATGTTTTTTTATGGCAGTGTTCACTTTAAAAGCAAAGTTCAGTCTTTTAACTATGTCATTAACATTCATTTATATACTTCCTTATTTAAAAAAAAAATGAGGGCAATGAGGTTTTCTACATTTTTCCCTCTACATTTGTCTACAATTTCTCTTCCACTTCTAATAAAAATTATGGAGGAAAAAAACATAAAAACACCATTCCATAGTATTATACATGTAAAGAGAAGACTTTCCAGAGTAATTTATTTTTGTTTTACATTTTTTGGTTTATTTTTAAATTATGATTTTAAAAATGATCAGTTATCACTATCTTATGCATACTAAATTAAAGTGACTTTATTTATTTATTTTAGTATTTTCTAGTAAAACAAATTCAGGGGAACATAAAGGTGTATTTCATAATTCATATGTTTGGATGCTTTAAAATTTGATGTAGAGCCCCACTTACAGTAGTTAACCAAGGGTATCTCAAATATTTTAAAAATTAGAAGGTGATATGAATGATTAGATGAGACTGCAGCTAATAATATAATTACTTTTTGATTATTCATCTTAACAGGAACACAGAAACATACCGGTAATCCAGGAAGTCCGATTCCTCCTTTTTCACCTGGCACACCTGGCTCCCCCACGTCTCCCTTTGAGCCTTTGAGTCCCTGCAAATGAGATGGTTTGCGTGTAAGAACCAAACTATCCCGTGACAGTGATATCCTGGGGAACACAGAATTCCAGATCAATTCTGTCAGTAGGTGGGTCCTATGTAAAGATGATTCTGATTTTCATTTTTAGGTAGAGTTATTTCTAGTAGCAACCTTCTACATTCAATCAAAATTATTTCCCTGCATAATAGAAGGCATTAAATTCCATCATTCAGACCACGCAAGTATGAAAAATATGAAGTTAGGTATTAACATCACGTCTCCTGATTTTATATATATATAAAATATATATATATATTTTTTAACCTGGTGGCTAATTCTATATCATCGGTCCTGAAAACAACTTAATGGCTTTAATTCTCAACAGCAAAGTACCCACCTGAACCAGTACCTAGTGTTACAATAACAAAGGCCCAAATAAATTTCTGCCCTCTCCCCCTATATCCCTCCTATCCCCTTGAAATGCAGGCAGAAGTTTCAATCACCACCAGTTTTCAATGGTCTAATCTAGACAGGAAAATAATTCACTGCACACTAATGTCCAATCAATGCTTAGAAATACTTAAACTTTTCCACAGTGTTCTTATTTTGGTCTGGGCACATCTCTGTGAGGTAATCCAGGATCTTATTTTTATTCTCCTTTTACTATGAGGGAATACATAAATGTGTATTCTGAAAGCCAACAACTCTGAATTGATGATACTAATACTGAAATTATGTGGTTAAGCATTTTCATTGAAGGAAATGCATAATTTCCTCATTCCTCATCACTGCATTCCTCACTGCAATATGACCAGATGGCCCATCTTCAGCAGAGATAATCATAGTTATTACAATAAGGGATGCTGAGGCTGCATAACCTGTTCATCTTTTCTATACTGAAAACTACTTGTAGATAGAAATGTGTCTTTTCTTGTAATTTATACTTATTTTATAGCACCTACTTTAGAATCACTCTTTAGGTGGGTGCGTGGATGGGTGCCTGAATGACGAAATAAATCTTACTGGTTAATCAGACCCTGGTTGGTTTTAGGGCTCTAGTGATTGCAGCGGAATAGTCGACCTGCTGGACATAGTAGCAGAAAACCTTGTAAAGTCTATAGAAAAACCTCAGCTATGTGTATGGACCATGAAGCATACCACTATGCTTGTCAACTTATTTATAACTAAAGGCCTGGTGCACAAAATTCATGCACAGAGAGGGGGAAGGGTCCCCTCAGCCCAGCCTTCACTCTCTCCAATAGGGAACCCTTGGACATCCCTCTCACAATCCTGGACTGCTTGCTCCTAACCACTCACCTGCCTGCCTGTCTGCCTGCCTGGTCACCCCTAATAACACCCCCTCCCACCCCCCGCCAGCCTGATAACCCCTAACCACCTCTGACTGCTGGCCTGATCATCCCTAACTGCCCCCCCTGCAGGCCTGGTTGCCCCACACAGTCTGCTGTTTGATTGTTTGGTGACCTCTCACTGCCCCCCGTGCTGGCCTGGTAACCCCTAATTGCCCCCCCCCCCCCCCGGCCTGGTCACCCCTAACTGCCCCCACTGCTGACCTGGTTGTCCCTAACTACTACCCGTTGCTGGCCTGGTCACTCCCAACTGAACCCCCACCAGCCTGGTCACCCCTTACTTCCCCCCCCTCCTGGCCTGGTCACCCCTCAGTCCGTGTCCCCCCCCCCCCCCCCCCCCCCCATGCTGGCCTGGTCGCCTCATGCAGACTGCTGTTCAGTTGTTTGGACATCTCTTCACTAACCCCCCTGCTGGCCTTGTTGCCTCACACAGCCTGTTTGGTTGTCAATCTGGTTGTTTTGGTTGTGATGGCCCCTGGCTTTTTATATATATAGATGATTAATAGTGTGAAAGGAAAAATATAACCAGATTTAAAAATTCTAATGTGATCTCTGACTAATATAGTGAATCATTTAAAGTCTCTCTTTTTTAATTAACACATTTGTTTAATGTGACATCATGTAAGTTCAACATAAAACTCTGATATTAAAATATCCAAACTTAATTTCCCTAACACTATCACCTGAGAAATATATTTCACTAACTGTATAAAGAATTCCCTTTATTTCTTATGATCTACTTGATTTTAGCCATTTCTTGAGTAAATAATGAAAACCCAAAAAACATCAAATAGCTTGAAACTAACCCATGATTTGATTATGGAATTGGAATACTGGCAGGTTCTTTTTTGCTTATGGACCAAATCCAGCCCAGGACTTGTTTTGTAAAGGCTGAATGTTATACAACATTTTTAAGGGGTGTTAAAAAGAAAAGGATATGCAACAGAAACTGTATGTGGCCTGTAAAGCCTAAAACACTTACTATCTGGTCCTTTATAGATAAAGTTTGCCAATCTCTGTTTAAGGGGAAACCTTGGAGAAACAGCCATATTCTGCGAAGCTACAACAGCCCTGACTGTTTCTGTCTTTTCTAATAATCTCAACAATTAGGTGAAATCTATATTTGCAAAAAGAAAACATATATAAGCAATATTTAATTTTTTCACTGATTTTAGTCTTGAATCATTTACATACATTCACTGACAAAAGCAGGATATTTTTGCTACATAGGTAATAATTTTACAAGTCTATTAAAAATTCACAAAGGACTCACTGGTAGATTGATAAAGAGGATTAAGATAAAACTAAAGCATCATACAGCTCGTATGTTTCTGCAAAGAAAACTGTCTTAAAACCAATTGCTTTTAAAATAGCAATAGACTCATTAGAGAAAGCAAGCAGACAGTCGGGGGGCTAGAGAGATTGAGCAAAAAAAGGGGGGGGGAAGAGAACTCATGGACATGGACAATAGAGCCGTGACTGGGTAGGGGAGGGAGATGGGTGGAGGATAAGAGGACATAGAGGGGATAAATGGTGATGGAAAGAGAAAATAAAAATAAATAAATAAAAGCAATTGCTTTTAGAGTTAACATAGTCTCCAGAACAGATGGTGAAGAGAGAGAGAGAGAGAGAGAGAGAGAGAGAGAGAGAGAGAGAGAGAGAGAGGATATCACATATCAACATACATGTTTTTCTTGGCTTCAAACCTGCAATAAAAGTAATGATCAATAACAATGCTTTAAATGACAGTAGGTATCTTTGAAAATTACCTGCTCTCCGTCAACTCCTGGGATTCCTGGCGATCCTGGCTCTCCCTGTTAAGATAAAAACTGATGGCTTCCTTCCACTTATCATTAGTAGCATACTAAGCTATATAAAAATGTTGCTAGTTGATAACGGAACAATTTTACTATCAGCAAATGTATCATAACCCAAGAATACTCCATTACATCATACCACATATCTAAACTAAGTAAAATAGCATTTTCTTGAATATTATATATGACAATCCTCATATGTAGCTAAGATCCAGTGTGATTCTCATGTGAGTTGCAGGCTAAACAAAAATTGATGAAAGGAAACTGATAAAAATCATTTGATGGCTGACCATATTCTATACTATGAATTTATAGCAATAGCCTATATGTCTCAGTTAACTTTTTTCCTCCTAAAAAATCTGTATGATTTCTCTTATTTTCCAATTTGAGAAATAAGTAAAAACATGACAATTATCTTAAGAGAGAATAAAATGCAAAGCCACATAAGTTCACAATAGTTTAACTGACACTGGTTGAACCATAAACAAAAATTCGTAATGATTGTGAATGTGCTACTTCCAGATAAGTCTCCCTGAAAGATGTAATAAATCAGATAATAACTTAATCCACATTAAATTACTTTTGGATCAATTCGATTTCCCATACTATGCTAGGAATGCACTACATTTACTATTTATATTATGATTTATTAGAACCCTTGACAAACCCAAAATATATAGATTTATTTTTTCCTAAAGATGTTCTATTAAAAACAAATTTAAACAATGTGCTAGAGATTTATTCAAACAACAAATGTCCAATCACCTTTCAGTTGGGAAGGTACTGAACAAATTCCTTGAAAGATATTATTTTATTTCAAGGAATCATGTATTTGAATCCCATTATAAATATGTCTTGTTTCCAAATTGTGGAAACTTTGTAAAAACAGCTCTTTTGAGAGTTTGAATGGCCTGCCTCTCAGACAGGATTCCAAGGGAGCTGACTTGAGACTATATTTTTCTAGAAAGACTTGATTGGTGATGTTATAAACCACAGTACCAAATGGCTAGGGCTCTTTTCCCCGGTAAAAACTTTAACAGCTATTGGCCACAGCATGAAATTTGAGCTTTCCAATGTTTTAGAAGGCGCAGCAAACAAATTAAAAAAAAGTGAAAAAGGGCTTTTCTTTCCAGATTTCCTGCTCTTTGTGGTAGCAGCTAAGTTTATTTTGCCACAAAGCCTGCTGAGGTTGGATGCAACTGGCTAAGCCCTCATTTCATTCATCTGAACACTTGTCAGCACTCTGGGCCCAATAACGATTGCTTTGCTAAACTTCTACCTTCAAAATGTGACCCATGAGTGTTTAAAAGAAAAACATAATTCATGGGTTATTCATTTATCCTTCACCAATCAAAAGTGGTTTGTAAAGAGTTTCTTGATGTGTAAGAAGTCAAACAATCCGTGTTTCATAAAGGAAGGAGTGATGCTAATTGAAAAAGTTCCCATTCAGTCTGAGGCTGTGAGTCCTGAGTGAGAATGGGATTTGTGTTTGACTCAGGCTGTATTTGCTGAGTCTTGGTCATGGGCCCATCTCACCCCAATGATCTCAACCTTCTCAAGGAGAGATCATGGAACACACAAAGGACTATATCAACTAACCCAAGACCTCAATGACAAGAACCCTGTGAGGTGTGAGGAATGGGGCAGAGTGACAACACAGTGGGAAGAATGGTAGGGTAAGAGGGAGTATGACTAACTGCCTCCTCCTTACCCCCCTGTCTAGACATTCATTTGGTCAATTTTCCTGTTTCTCAGTTTTGATTCCTAATCTTGACTCCCAAGGCTGAGACAGCCTTCCTATTTTGCGTCTTGATCAAAGCACTCACTCTTATTTATAAACTAGTGGCCTGGTGCATGGATTCATGCACATTGAAAGGATATTAATATTAATTATGTGGCAACACATAACTCACAGCCGAAGGTGGAATCGTGCAGCCCTGTGAGGAATCAGGCTCTCTCCTTTCTGGTTCCAGGGTGTGTCACCCAAGAACTGATGCTTCTAAGTCACCATAGCTCAGCAGCTTCTGCATTGAGCATCTACTTCCTAGTGGTCAGTGCATGTCATACCTACCACCTGGGTAACTGGTTGGACAGTCACTTAGTCATATATATATGTATTATTGTGCCATTACCTGCCTATCTCCTCCTCAGGATATAATCCCCTGGTTGGAACCCCTTACTATACCTTAGTATTTTTATTAGATATTAGTACTTGGTACAGAGTAGAGGCTCAAAAATTAATTATTTAATAATCTATATATATAAAAACCTAAGTGGCAGTCTGACTATTCAACCACAATCAGCACCAGGGGGCAGACACTCAATGCACAGGCATGGAAACATGGAACAGACTAATGAATCTCACAGGAAAGTTGGGGAGAGGGCAGGAAGAGATTAACCAAAGATCTTGTATGCATACTAGAGGCCCGGTGCATGGATTCACGCACAGATGGGGTCTCTCGGCCTGGCCTGTGGAGATTGGTTCGAAAACAGCAGTTCAACATCCCCTGAATGGGTCTCAGATTGCAGGAGGGCACAGGCCAGGCCAAGGGACTCCACTTGTGCACAAATCTATGCACTGGGCCTCTAGTTAAATTAATAAATGAATAGCAATTGGATTATAAAACTGGGTATTCAGGTTTTAATGATATCACCCTCTCAGCTAGGTGGTCCTTTTTGCCCCTGTGGGCCAAGGGATGGGCACCCTTTGAGCTTTTGCAGGCATTTTGGCTGTAAAGAAAAATGAAGTCCTAGAAGCTGTGGAGAATTGTAGGGAATGACATGCATAGTTAGCACTAGGGACAATTTTGTTTCTGGAGACTCAGTCAAGTGAGGAGATGAAACAAGGAACTCAGACATAGAACTCTACATAGAGGGAAACAGATCTGCATATTTCTTTTTAGGTTGTGGAGTCCAGCTCACAAACATATTAAAGAATACAAATCCAGGCTGACTTATTCACTAGGAACAAAGGCTGTCTTACATCTCTTAGGTGCCAGAATGTGGTGGAGAAATAGAAAGTTAAAAATCCTAAACTGTACACTGTTATACAGGAAATCTGTTTGAAATTAAGATCTATATTCAAATATATTTCCCATAGCCAAGAACCTCAGTAATATTTTACTTTATATTTCTTTTTATAATTGAAAAATATGCTAGTGTTCTGTTCTCAAGTACCTTGAAAGAGAAAAGTACAAAAGCTGATGTGTGTGTGTGTGTGTACGTGTACATGTCTGTGTATGTATGATAGACTTAGCAAATAAACTGCCTTAAGAGGCATAAACAAAAGATGGATTGCTAAATTACCTAAATTGCCCACAAAAATCCAATGATGAAAATCATATTTCAACACACATAGCTTAGTTCTGAAAAGCCAAAGTAACTGGCCATGTATTAACTGATCAAATAACGAAACTTTACTTTGGAGGGAGAAAGCTAATGCAAGCAACAAATTTAGATATAACCACATATGTTTCATTAGATAAGATTTAAATGGCAGAATATCTGAATATATACAATGATGAAATGCTATAAAAATGACTCAAATGATTTATAAAATTGTCATGAATGCATCCCTTATTCTTTCTATTATAAAATAATTAGAGGGAAGGATCCTTTTTAGTGTCTGAGTATATTTTCCTTCAATTCTCCTCTATCTAAATACTTTCCTTTCTTCATACACCACATTTAGTGTTTTTTTTTTTTACATTTATAATTTATTTAAAACTTGTTTTTCCTTTATTTAATATTTTCTCTTTTCCTCAATGTCCTCCTAAATTGAATGTCATTTCTATATATTTTCCCTCTTTCCTAATTTTCCTTTTTAAAAAAATCCTTTGTCCTTCAACCTAAACCTCAATTTCTCTTCTTACCTCCTTTAAGCAATATTGCTGATCTCAGCTCTCCAGTATTTTGTAAGATTGATATGCAAAGATACAAATATTTAATATAGGATTCTCTGCACCATATGTGGTAAACGGGAATAAGTAAAATAAAGAATAACCTTTGGCCCTTGTAGTCCTTGAGGTCCAGGTGGTCCAGGGGGACCCTAAATCCAGAAAAGACAAAATTATGAAAGGGAACCAAGTCTATGTATTAAATTTCATACTTTAATAAGTATACTACACACTTTCTTAATTTCTATAATAATAAAATATTTCCTAATATTGATTTGCAAGGAGGAAAATTTCATCAGTTGCAGACCTACTTATATGCAAAAACATCAACACATAGGCCAAAATAATACTGAAGATGCTTTTGAGTTGAATTGTAAGACAATGTAAAATTGCTACTCTCTCACATTCATCTTCTTGGGTTGAATTAGCTTATTAATATTATCTGTGCCTCTAGACACATTCTTCCCCTTCCCTCCAAAAGGCTTTGCTTTCCCAAACACTAAAAAACAAAACTATATAATTAAGATAAGGCCCAAGACTTTTGAAAAAAAAAAAATAACTTTTTTTCTTGACTTTTTCACTAAACAGACAAAGTGGTTAAACTTGGGAAAATTTGAAAAAGGTTATTTATATAAGAAAAAATAAATCTCATATAAAAACAATTGCTACATTAGTACCATTATGAGCAGCATGCATCAACATCAAATACAAAGCCACAGACCACAGAAATCATGCAATAGGAGTTACCGTGACAGTTAAGGTGGTAATCCTCTGTTGAGAAAATGTATTGATAAAGATAGAGTTACCTATTTTGTGTGCTGAAGTACAGTAATACATTTCTGAAATAATCAATGTTTGAATATGTTTTGGAAAGACTTCTTCAAATGAATAGAATACTGGTATATTATAAAGATTTCTTTAAACACTATTTTTAGAATTTTATTTAAAAATCTGTGGATAAAGAAAAAAATATAAAAATTTTAATTCGCTTTATTTTATCATTTTATTTACTTATTTTTTTAAATTTATTGATGAGAGAGAGAGAGAGAGAGAGAGAGAGAGAGAGAGAGAGAGAGAGAGAAACATCCATTTGTTATTTCACTTATTTATGTACTTATTGGTTGCCTCCTACATGTGCCCTGAATGGAGATTGAACCCATAACCTAACCCACTGAGCTACCCTGCCAGGGCTAATTCACCTGATTTTTAAAAATTATGTAGAGGTTTGTCAGTTAACTGTGACCTAAGAAACTTCATCATTCATACAATTTCTAGATCTTCTAGATTACTTTAATTAGAGAAAACTTGAACAATCTAATTGTGTAAGTAGTATTTTTTTCTCTTTTAGTTTGTGCCATGTCTAAAGATAGGAGCCGACATGGGATTCATCTAGTTTCTTAATGTGAAGGGCTAGAGTTCTGTAACAAAATATATTCTTGGAAAGTATGAATCTCTAAAACACTTGATCCCTAATTTAGGATCATTTTTGTGTTAATATTTTCTAATTTCTTTTTGAGCTAAATGTTCTATAGGACCTATAACCAATTTGTGCAACCATACAGGACAAACATTCTCCATGGGATATTCCAGTCCCAACAGAGAAACATTATGCAATTACACATAAACTTGTGAATACCAGTTTAGCACCATCCCTTTGTTTTCCACTAATACTCCATTCCAATTTCTGATTTACTAGTAGTTTGTTGTTGCTGTTTTTTATTATTGTTGTTGTGAAAACATAATCTTAACATTATCTATCATTCCTCAAACAATTGTGTCTCTAGTGGCATGATGTCGTTATTCCTTAGAAAACAATGTATTATGCGTGTATAAATACTCACTTTTGTACTCTGATAAAATCTGTTATGGTCATTATAGCTTCAGAGAAAAATATAATAGGAGAAAAATCAACCAGTATTTTTTTTTTTAAAATCCTCACCCGAGTATGTTTTTCCATTGATCTTTAGAGAGAGTGGAAGAAAGAGGGAAAGGCAAAGAGAAATATTGATGTGAGAGAAACACATTGACTGGTTGCCTCCTGCACGTGTCTCAACCAGGCCTGGACTTGGGAGGAGCCTGCAACCAAAGTATGTGCCCTAGACAGGAATCCAAATACAGATACCACTTACTTTATTCATATGGGATTCACCTAAACAACAGTCAAATTTAGGATTATGAGAAAGCTACTTCTTCATTTCTATAGATAAATTAGTCATTAAAAAAATCTTCTAGAAAATGAGAGTAAAAACACTTTATCATTGCCTTCCAATTACACGTTGCAATTTTAACTAGAAAACACTCATAAGGCCTTAGAAAAAGAAATGAGCTTAAAAATTAAACCCTTGGAGGTTTTCTAACAGTGCCACATATAATTCATTTTTTTATCTAAACACAAAACTAGTTCTTTTATAAATTTAAATATAATAGCGTGTTTTATAATGAGGTGCATAATAAAAGAATATTATTAAGGTAACTGAACTAACTAACAGATGGGATTTAAATGATCTTGTTAAACAACTATTTGTGAGACCCAGAAGTTATACAGGGCAGGGCAGGTTCCATCCAGTTAATAGAAAAAAAACAAATGACAAAACACTAAGCTAAGTCTTCAAAACCAGAGTTTTTACTGCCATCCTGAAGCACTAATGTGCAGACACAAAAACGTCCTAAAGATGTTTGCTCATGTTGGACTTCTTGTATCTGGTTCCTCTAGGTTAAAGGTATATATGCTCAGCAGGATTCTCACTTGAAGTTCAGTTATGACTTGAAAGCAAGAATGTTGTTGGTAGAGAAGAAGAAAGACATGCTCTTCTCTCATGAGGCATGATGGGAAATGGGAAGCATGAGCTAGAGTGATTACATTGGTTGAAGTTCGAGGTTGCTTAGTGATTCATTCCCTAAGATACTTATGTAAATCACTTTAGAATTAGAGGTTATTTCCTTTCCTTTTTGACAAAGATGCACACTTAAAATCACCCATGATTTACACCAGAGAACAGGTTTAGTTTGAATGCTACTGAGGACTTTTAAAAGCTTGAGTAGGAAATGGGGAAGTTTTACTGCAAATTGTGGAAATGCAACCACCTTAAATAAAAATAAATTGCTTATGGCAAATGTTCACATAAATAACAAATTTCAATTGAGGCAACAGTAAAATATTTGTAATGTGATATTTTTATAACTGTAAAATACTCATATTTATCCAATTATCCTAGACTTTTTTGCAGAATTTTTAGAGAAGGCAGTAGTAAAATGAAACAAAACTGTGAAAATCCATCACTGGGTAGAGAATTAGAAAAATAAATGTCTGCTATTTCCTTTCAGTCTAATGGCTATTTAGTTTAGTTCTTTTTTTTTTTTTTTTAAGGGGCTCTTATCCACTAATTAGAAAAACAAATAGCTTTGAAGTGAAAAACAATGACATTATAAATTATTTATAAGCACAACATATAGTTGCCCTAACTAACCTATAAGAATAATAGGTCTTTAGAGGTTGAGATATAAATATGAACCAGTTGATTATGATCCATATTGACTTGTTTACAGTCATACAGAACTCATGGTGAGCACAGATTCTTTTCAAGATGCAGGTGTCACAATTTTAATGAAATACAGTGTGTTCAGGCACACCACCAGAAAGGGTTCAGGAACTCAGAAAATAATCCTAAGTATAATGTTAGAATCGAAAGACTCTTAGAAAAAAATCTGTTTAATCAAATCCTCATTTTCCAGATGCAATCAATGGAGTATAGATACATTGATTTCTCTAAAATGACTTAGCTAATTAGTAATTGAGGGGAGATCAAAACAGAGATTACAGTTTTAGATTAAGTAATTCCCGTTCTTTACCAGTTTCTATTAATGATACCAGTAAGACTTTAAATTTCTTGAGATAGGAATTGCTCCATGCCAGTCCCTGTTTATGCACAAGGTGCTTTAAAAGTCCTCTTTTATAATTTTTTTTTAAATGGCCAATAATATTGGAGCAGTTCTTGGAAGGTAAGACAATGGATATCTCTTAAATATTATAGTAAGAATGATGGGAAGCGGTATAAGGGAAATTTATAACATTGTTAATAAATTAAGTTTAAAAAGTGTCTCTATATTTTATAAGTAAGAACTTTGAAAACATAGTAGGTGCACCTAACTAACCTTCTTGTTCTGTTACTCTTTTTCTTACACATACCAATGAGAAGAACAGAAAAAGTAGACTGATCTGAAGATAGATTTTATAAAAGTGGTAGTTGTAGGAAAAGACTCATAGAAATGAAGGCCTACAATAATTAGAGAATATTAGTGAAGTCATGAGGATAGAAAAAAACAAGAAACAAATAGCAAATAGCAAATATTTAAAACAACTGTTGAATCTTTCAAGCAAATAAATGGATTGTACATATGAGATAAATATACTCACTTATTCAATCAATGACTTTATTTAATATTTATGCCCAGACCTGTTTCAGGCATGTTGGGGGATGCAGAGTAAGCACAAGACAGATTTCCCGTCACCAAGTAACTTCCAGTCTGGTAAGCAGCAAGATTAAATAGTTTATGTGACTTAAAGAATAATTAAATGTAAGCTACTGGACCCTGACCACTAATGTTTAAAAGAGGAGGCTCTCATCTGGGTGGCAGCAGTACATTGCTGGAAAAGACTGAAATGGATAAAAGAAAGGAAAGAAGGATGGGATGAACCAGGCAAAAAGAGGAGGATTTTTATGGATAGGATCAATAAGACCACTTCAGGGGGAAATGTGTTCTGGAAAAATAGAAAATTCTGTAGAGGAAACAGAGGAATATAGAGCCTTAAAAATCAGGTACAGAGGTAGAGAAGTTTGAGCTTGATAGAGTAGGCAAGGGGGTCCATTTCAGTTTCTGAGAAGATTGAAACCATCAAAATAGTAAAAACTATAAAAATTAACCTTGAAGTGATGTATAAGATGGATTAAAAGAGTAAGAAGGTACTAGGGAAGAGGAGTTGGCTGAAGGCTAGTTGCAGTGTCAGAACTGAAATAAATAGGATGTGGACTTAGTTGGGAATGAATAGGATATAATAGATCAATCTCAACAGATAGCTTGAAAGAAAGAAACAGTAGTATATGGTGGGATGTAATGGATGAAGGGCTAAGAATAGTTAAAAATAACTCTAAAGTTTATATCTCAAGAAATTCAAAAGCTTGTGGTATCATTAACAGAAACCGGTAAGTTAAGAAAGGGAATCACTTGGTAGGTGGGAAAGATAACAAGTTTAACTTCATGTCTTGGTGGAAGTTGACAATCAATTGTGCATCCATTGAGGAAATATTCCTAGGCAGCTGGAAGTATAGGCAGATCAGATACAGTGTGAAAGATTTAGAAGCAGCCATCACACAGAAGGACATGGAGTGATATGCCAAGAAAAGATTAGAGAATCGAAGATACCAAAAATTAGGGAATGGATAGAGAAACTGGAAATACAAAAATAGAATGGATCCGTCATAGACAGAAACTGGAAGAAATGAGAGTAGAGGATCAGAGAAACCAGGAAGAAAAAGTTTCAGAAAAGGAAGGTGGTTTAGGATAAATGTCACAGAAAAGTCAAGGGTGATAAGTACCATGTGCTTTAAGTCACATAAACTATTTAATCTTGCTGCTTACCAGACTGGAAGTTACTTGGTGACGGGAAATCTGTCTTGTGCTTTATAGGAGAGGTTACAACAGACTGGTGACAGAAGCTAGAATGCAGGAGTCTGAGCATAAAAAGGATGAATAGGATGCAAAGTGATGGAGGCATGCCACATAGTCTAGCAGGGGTCCTCAAACTTTTTAAAGTGGGGGCCAGATCACGGTCCCTCAGAGAGCTGGAGGGCCGGACTATATGAACTACTAATTCCTACTGTAACACCTCGGCTGCACTCACTGCCCAAAAAACCTGGCGGGCCGGATCAGACTCCTCTGCGGGCCGCATGTGGCCCGCGGGCGGTAGTTTGAAGACACCTGTATGGTTTTCACTTAATGGAAGAAAAAGAATCGAATGGTAGCAGTAATAAGAAACACCCATGGAGGACTTACTCAATGCCAGGCATTTAGCCATTTACAGCTCACAATAGCCCTTTCAGGCAGATACTACAACTGTCCTCATTTTAGAGAAAACTGAGGCCTAGGTCATGCATTTAGTAAGCAAAAGGGCTGAGATTTGAACACAGGCATCTTCAACTCCAGAACCACAGGGCTTTTCATTGCTTTGCTTGGCTTGCTTTCCAAGCAAGGAGGCAAAGATTGGTGAAATAAACACAGGTTTTAAACCAGGTAAGACTTACACATACCTGAAGGTACAAAGAAAAGAGAAGCTTAAAAATGCTAGGAAATAAAGGGGATAAACTGGGGCAAGCAGAAAGGGATGGGTTCAGAATAGGAAGAGGGTGTGGTTTGAGCAGTGGAGCTCCCCGGAATCCCTGGGGGTAGGGAAGCTGATGTTTATGCTCATCAGTCACTGTCTGTGGCGGGGAGCAGTCACTTGCCTGCAAGGCTTCCTGGAGGTTGCCATTGTAGTCTATGATCTCTGTGGCTCCTTGATCCCCCTTTTGACCAGGTGGGCCCTATGGAAAAAAACAAAAAACAACCAATAGGAAATCATGTGGGTTAGGCTAGGATATAGAAGGGACTTTGGCAAAAACAGAATTAGTAACTTGCAGCTCTTTGACCATCAATTCCTGGCTAAGGCACGACCACACTTTAGAATACATAGTCATGTTTGAAGTTTGTCCTTATTTCATAGGAGGGGAGCCATCTCTAACTTCCTTGTTGGTGCATGTGAAAGATACGAAATATGAATAAAAAATAGGTATGAGTCAATCTCTGAAACTGTTTTCTGAAAATTATAAAATGTAGGCCAATCTGATTCAACTTGTAAACATTCATTGGCTTTATCCATATTTATTAAAGCAACCCTAACCTTTTCTGGTCATTTACAACTCAAAGATTGCTTCCTCATTCTTTAAGAAGACAAAGCTCTGTTCTTAGGGAAATCCTGGTTTTCCCAACTGGAATAGAGTTCTATTAAAATAAAACCAAAGAGGGAATGCAAAGAAGACGTATCTTTAAAATTTCTACCCTACTCATTAGCTCTGCCACTGAAATTACACTAGTTTTGTCCTAATTCCTTGCCTTTGTTTTAACAAAAGGCTCTGAAAATAGGGGTGGTTGCTTTATGTTGAGAAAAATGGAAAATTCTACTAGCTGAATGACTATGGATTTGCTATTGCTTGTTTAGCAGAGGGAGATAAGATCAAGAGAGCTCTTTAGACCTTCTTCTTTTGAGCTCATTACATGTTAGAATCTATCCACTCACTGTTACTTGTGAGTGAAATTGAAAATAATATGAAAGGGGGTATCAATAATAATTACACTAGTCTCCCTCTGGTGCTATTATTGGGTATTATTAGTCGAGGTTCCCTGTGAAAAGCCACATAGATACACACTTTAATTCTAGGTTTGTGGGGGGATATGGGGCAAAAGCTGGGATGAGAGACACACTCACTCTTGGTCCCAGGGTTCCAGAGTCTCCTTTGTCTCCACGGTCACCCTTTCACCAGTGAAGAGAAAAAACCTAATTAATAGGAGGGCCAACAGTCTAGAAATATCTCAGATCTAAGGATGTATTTAATACCATACAGCAGCACCCTTATTACAAACTTCTGAAGTACAAAATCACAACTAGAAGAACAATAACCACCCACATGGCAAATGCTTCGTTAAGATACGTCTTGTAGGGAATTAAAATTCCCCTTTCAGTTAAGAGTGTATCTTGGAACAACAATGTATATGTTAGCTCTTTCACTAGGGATCTTCAAAAGCAAAGCATTGGTTTCCATGACAGCCAATGTGCCATGTTACCCCTCAGACTGAGCTATGTTTTTGCCTTTATATGAAACCTGGGGCAAAGGTAAAAAGAGCCAACCACTTTGGTTTTCTTTCCTCTGAGAGGTAATGTGTAAATAATTGAGACAGGGAAGGGATGGAGAGCTCATTCTGGGAGAATCAGAAGGGAAAGGTCACCAGCTAGGCCTTCCTCTGATGATGGAGATTGGAGATTTGAGGCAGCGTTTTCCTGTGGGCACAGGCATTTTAACACAGAAGGTGCTGAAGTGGACAGCAGCTAGCTGGGACTGGTGGGCAGGGCTGAAGGTCAGGGGCAGGGCAAACTCAGCTCTCTCATTTTTTTTTTTTTTTTTTTTTTTTTTTAATGCTAAATGAAGAATCACTGAAGTTCCACTTATGGTGTTATTACCCCACCTGCAGAGACACAAGGAATAATCCAAATCTCAAACTATATCCACACTCATAATTCTCAGAAGTCTAAACAGAAACACTGGAGAAGAGATCTGGACCTGTGTACATTTGAAGGTTCTTTAAAACAATCTTAAATTTATTGAGACCTTTGTCTAAATGGAATTCAAAGCATTTTGATATATCTTTTTATGTGTACCTATAAACTGGGTAAGGACCAATGAAGAGAAACAAGAAAAGGGATTATAATTTTTATCCATCCACATTGACTCATAATAATTAAATTGGGAGAACAGAGAATAATTTCTGCTCTGTTTTCTTTATTTCTGCACCAATTTCCCATATTATTAGCTAATAGCATTTTAAATAACACGATTCTGCTAACAATGTCTAGATAACTGAAAATATTATAAAGAACATGGTTCAGAAAAGAATTTCAATTAGTGGTGAAATTTTAAGGCAATGAAAGGAGTCAACTAAGTTAAAAGCAGAGTAGCCCTGGATGGGTGGCTAAATTGTTTGTGATGTCATCCTATACATAAAAAAGCTGTGGGTTCGATTCCCCATCAGGGTACACAACTAGGCTGCAGGTTCAATCCCTGGTTTGGGGACATATAGGAGGCAAATGATCTATGTTTCTCTCACATCGATGTCTCTCTCTTTCTCTCTCTCTCTCTCTCTCTTTCTCTCTCTTTCTCTCTCTCTCTTTCTCTCTTTCCCTCTCTCTTTCTCTCTCTTTCTCCCTCCTCTCTCTAAACATACCCTAGGGTGAGGATTTTTTTTTAAAAAAAGCAAAGTACAATTAGAATATTTATTATAAAGATAACCAGTAAATGAAAAATAAGATTTATATCATACATAAGATAAATTAAGTACAGTACTTAATTTTTTCCAAAGAAACTATTCTATGAGACAGGAAATAAAACTTCCCTTAAAGAAGTCTCCTTTAGTGTTTAGTCATAAACACACAAAAACAAACCAATTATTCTGAAATATCATCATAGGGATGAAATTACTGGAGGAGTTTAATTTAAAACATGATTTTATGTGGAAGAGGCCAAAAGCACAGCTCTTGAAGGCCGCATGTCACATTAAAATGATTGTCTGGTTACTGACCTTTGACCCCTTTGGGCCTCTAGCTCCTGATTCACCTTGTTTCCCCTATTATAGGAGAATATGAAGATGAAAAAGAGAAAAGAGACAGAGTAGTAAGAACAGAGAAGAGAAATGATCAGTGACATAAAAATGGAAACACTTTATTTTAACTGCCATACACTATGGCTCTGTGTAATGTTGGCTATTAAAACACTAAAGGTAAGAATTATCACAGTATCACTGGTTCATCCCCTGGTCTCCCCGGCAACCTTCATTCCAACATAACTTGCCCTCCCACCAGCGGCAGGGAAGAGCTCTGTGAATGATTCTCATTAGTCTCAATAGTGTTAGCATAAATTTCCTTTTCATCAAAGAATAAATCATTTCCTATGTATCTAGGCTGGGTTATTAAAATAAAGTGTTACCATATTAGTTTGCAGGAAGTTTAGAGGAATAAAGACTGAACAGTCAAATAAATTTCAAGGTGTTATCATCAAGTTACCATCAAAGCTAAATACAACACATGTCAACATGTTCTCATATGTTTCAATACCCATTGAGTGGGAATGTGTTAACGACAGTAATTCCCCTTCACATTTGGATGTGTTACTACTTTTGTTCATTGAAAAGAGAAAATTAGGAAAGTTAAATTGTAAAATTCCTTTTTTTAAAAGAACCAATTGGTGTGTATTTCAATAAGTTATTTGTGCATTTCAATAAAATAATACTTGTTGAGGAATTTTAAATTTTAGTTTATGATCTAAATCAAGAGGCACACATTTCCAAACCAAAGAATGTTATTTTCCAACATAAGAATGACTGACCTTTGCTCCAGGAGTTCCAGGCTCCCCTCGCTCACCTCTTCCGGGAGGCCCTGCCTCCCCTCGCTCACCCTGTCACAAAATGCAAAACCATAAATGGCAACTCTCCTCTCTCTCCCCCTACCCCCAGCTGGTACCTGTAGATTAGTAAGTAAGTTGAATAAAATTAAAGAAAGCATTTAATTGCCATTTATTTATCATGTACCCAGCACTGTATTAATCGCAGCATGAATTACCTAATTTAATCAAACGATTGATTGTTCAACCCACTGTATTATCACTTCCATTTGGTAGATAAGGACATGAATTGGTACATGCCTGTCAGACGCCTACATTGGTAAATGGAAGACCTCAAAAGGGACCTGATAAGGACCACGATGATACCTCAAGTCAGGAACAGACACACAGTTTTCATTCTGTGGCCACTTTCTCACTACTACGGGGATGCAGCATGGCAAAGTGGTTAAGGCTTTGTAATGGCCATAACTCACCACTTCATTGTGGCCAGGCTTCTTGTAATCCCACATTCTGGGCCTGTTATCTATCAGTTCTGCATTTTAGGGCAAGTTAGTTAAGTCCCCAAAGCCTCAGTTTCCTCTGTAAAATATGGAAAATTATAGTACTGATCTCATAACTTATAAATGTAGTACACGACACATAGGCATAACCGCTTCACTTTCTCCACAGCTCTGTGAGGTATAAATATGGCCATTGCCCCCAAGGAGCCAGTGATCTGCCTAGACAAGGTCCACATAACAAAACAGTCAAGAATTCAAGGGTAGCATAAGGCATACATGAGAGAAGAAGTTTTTAATGGTCCAGACTGGCCCCCTGGGGGTGGGACTCCAGTCATGTCCTGAAGGATGAGTAGGCTGTTATTTTATAAGTATCGCTGTTATGACTATGCCCTGAATGAGTGCAGGAATTGCACAAAACACTTTACGTACATTATCCTATGCAATCCACAGGGCAGATGAGAAAGGTGTTCACATTCACAGTCTTACAGACGGGGCAACTGAAGCTCAGAGAGGGTAAGTAACTTTCTCAAAGTCACAAAGCTTTCAAAAGGAAGAGCTGTAATTTAAAACTGTGCTCAACCTTCAGCTTCTGTAGAAATATTTTTGTATGTGATCCTTTGAATGTCTCTAGTCCTTTTCTAAGGAAAAAATTGTAGCTGGGGAATTGCTGTGTCAAAAAGTATGAACATAGGAGAAGTTTGCCCAGTCACCCTCCAGGGAGACGCCACTGTTTTATACTCCCTGAGTGCAGTAGACTGTCTGGCTTTCCCCATGATGGGCAGCATTCAGTACTCCAACAGGCTTTGAATTCAGTTTTGTGTTAGCTGGGCGATACAGGGCTTTCCATTCCAAGACCTTTATCTGTGTCAGTCCCTCTGTGGGAAGCTGTTATGGTTTTGCAGGTGAGGAGGGATGGAGTAGTGCAAGGATGAATGAAGTTCAGGAAGTTGCTCAGCATGACCCAATGAGAGTGGGCCAGGGGACAAGGCGGGAGAAAGCAGGGACGTGAGGGATGCAGCAGACGGAAAAGATGCTCCGAGAGCTCTCCCAGGGTCAGAGACTGAAGTGCTTCAGGTAACATATGGAATTTTTATTTTTAAAAAAGCACCATATTTGGCATTCCTCTTAATATTTTACAGAAGAATGTCAAAATAGTAACTGTAAGCTTGTTTTAGGGCAAAACAGAAACCTTAGAAAATCGTGTATCTGTTACATACCCTAAGAGTGGAGTGGCTGTATCTTTACCTAGAATCACTTTAAAAGATGACAATGCCCTTAATTGTTACTTGTCACTTTCTGGGATTATATTATTTATGTGTTCACTTCTTTCTCTCCTCCCACCCTTCCTCACACATCCTGGAAGGTAAGCTTCAGGAGAGTAGAGACCATTTTTGCTGCATTTAGTTTTCATTCTCAGACATTAAAAAATAAAGTCTGGCAAAATGTTGTTGAATTAATGAATAAACAGTATCACTCAAAGTATTCTAAATTATTGAGAATAGCACTCCATTTCTTTAGACTGGTGTAGGCCTCTCCCAGGACTGACGCAGATGCTGGGGACACAGCAATGCATAAACAGATTTTTAAGTGCCATCACACAGCTTCTCTCATTATGATTTCTCTTCACGGTGTTGGGGGTAAAACACAGATTAATTTATATTTTTAATCTGAATCGAGTGGAACAAAACCAGATTACCCAAACAACTGGGGGGGGGGGGGGGGACTACTGTTTGGCTGGAGGAAATTTTTTAATAATCATGGCTTCTCCGTCACGATACCAAATTCATGTATGATAGGCAATTTAACTGAAAAATAAACTTCACGATATTTCTAATAAAATGAATATCCTATCTACATCCTTTCTTGTAGAAATACAAAACAGGTACAGAAATTCTTCATTTTTATTGGGAGTTCAGAGTAGTATCTGTGATAAGATTATCTAGTCTATAAAATCAGCCTGGGCTCCTCACAAGTAGTAATTAATGGGATTTTATGGCCCCCACATCTGGATCTTTTTGAAACTGTGGAATAGCTTAAGGTTAGTGAACTAAAGAAGAGATATTTAGGGCTGAACTCCCCTCTCTACAGCCCATGTTTCTCCTATATTTCCTTGCTTAGCAAACCAAATGCCACCGACATTTAGAGATGAGTTAGCTCCAGTCTGGTTCTCTGAAGCACCAACCAGGCAGAAGTTTGAGCCTATAACCAGACTGCCTTCCTTCTCTGAAGCTCAAGCCTGAATACATACACCGGCTCTTATATGAACACAGAATGCTCAGTTCTCGTTCTGTCTGTGTATCTCTCTCTCTTCAGTTCTTGTTCTCCCCCCCCCAAAAAAAAAAAAAAATACCCCCTCCCGAAAGTGTGTTTCTGTGTGTTTGTTCAGGCTAAAACAGGCATTCCTCATTCCTCATATTTTGTTAATAAGTCTGACAGCTCATTATGTGAAAATGAAATCGCTTGGAAAAACAGCAATTTTGCATACGTTCGACCCAGTGCCCCTTGGGCCACGCACAGTTTCCGTTTACTGGGATTAGAGTTATTTTCTCTTGAGCAGCGGGAATGAGGACGCCTCTGTCAGAACAAACCCCGAACGCATTTCTCCGGCTCCCGGAAATCAGCCTGCTTTATTTCTGGCGAATGCAATACACGTGGAGGCAAAGGCGGCTATGGGTTAAAAAAAAAAAAAATGTAGTTTGATTTCATTTTGCCGCTCCTTTGATTCATGACTCTGTCATGAGTAAAGTTCCTCGGAGCTGTACTTTTTAATGTCTTGCTGGGCAGATAAAAAGAGAACGATAGGCCTGACTGTATCCGCAGCAACATAACTTTTTATTTGGCGGCATATAGGCTGTGCTTTTAGAGCCCTCTCTAGGGTTGCCAAGTGGAAGATCACGAGATGGTTTTCATTACAGGATCTTTCTGCAAACGTTATTCAGGATGGATCCTTTCAGGATGAGGCACTTAGGAATCTCTATGACATCAGTACTCCTTGAAATCCAGGGAGTGATGTGGGAATAATAATAATGTTTGATTTACAAGTTTGTCCTAAAATCAGCGATAAGGAGGAGGGGTTAATGAGTTCTATCTCCCCTCCTCAGAATTCCCCCACTTTTCCATATGGCCAGGAAGCTTATAGCACCACATCAATTTAGGAGCAATTTGGGGGACGACTGGAACCACTAAGATATCCCACTTTCCTGTTGTCTTGCCCAAGGCTTTCTAACATTAACTTCCTGTTACTCTATTAAATACGGGGACCCCCATTAGAAGTGTTAGAATGGGTGATAGGCTGCTTTTGTTCTTTATGAGGCAAAAAGGTAAGGTCACCCAAATAGCAAAGTTATCCCACATTTCTTTCAACAAATGGACTAAGATTTTTATGACAGAAAATTTCAGAAAGGAAGGTGAAAATGCCACTCACCTTTGTTCCTGGTAAGCCTGGTAAGCCTGGCTCTCCTTGAGGACCAATGAAACCTGGTTCACCCTTTAAAGAGATGGGCATGTGAGATTGTTATCACTGGACAGTAAGTGAGTAAAGTTAGACTGATTTCCTTCTATTGGAATTCTACTCCTTTGATAGCATACAGCTTTCTTGATGAGATTCAGCTACTGAATATAAAATTAAATAGGTTTTGAGCAAAGGTTTAGAAAGTAAATGTGGCAAACCACCCAGATCAATCTATATATATATATATATATATATATATATATATGGCTAAGTGTCCCTCTGACTGGTAGCTATAATGGGCACTGACCACTAGGAGGTAGATACTCAATGCAGGAGCTGACATGAAGCACACTGGCCATCCTATATAATAAAAAGCTAAAATGAAAATGGTCCCCTCGGGATTCGACTGACTGGGGGTTTGACTGCTCACTATGACATATACTGACCATCAGGGGGCAGCAGGAAACAAAAAGCCTCAGCCAGCAGCCAGGGGAAGGAAGGCCCCAATCAGCCCTAATTGCTGGCTAGCCCTAGGGACTCCACCCTTGCATGGATTTTATGCACCGGGCCTCTAGTGTCTCTATAATTTCCTTTCTCACCTGCTGTCTTGTGGTTCTTACCATTTACCAGATCCAGTTAATCATGTTTGGGTGAGGGTGGGAGGTAGCTTTTAAGATAGGTGTAAGCAATCCCACCACTTGGTATTCATGCCTTAGTGTAATGGCCTCTGTTTGAGTGCAGCCTGGAGTTAATGACATGTCTGATTAACAGAACTTGGCAGAAGTATGGGATATCACTTCTGAGGCTAAGTCATAAAAAGACTACGGCTTCCACCTCCAGGGGGTCTTTCTTGTTCTCTCTCACTTGGATCACTTTTTTGGGGGGAAAGCAAGCTGCCATACTGTGAATAGCACTATGGACAAGTCCGAGTGATGAGGTCAGAGGTCAGCCAATAACCTCATGTATGAGCTTGGGAGGGGATGCTCCACGCAGGTGAGAGCAGAGCCCTTCCTAACAGCTTGACTGCACCCTCATGAGAGACACTGGTCCAGAGGCACCCTGCTGAGCTGTGCACAGGTTCCTGTTTCTCCAAAATTGTGAGATAATTGTTTGCTGTTTAAAGCCAGTTTTTTTGGGGAAAAGGGTAATAATGATATGCAGCAATAGATACCTGAATGTTAGATGTGGCTAGGGAGGAGATTCAGGAATGTTCAGCATGACAGAGAAAACTTCTATCCTTTCCCTACCTCCAAAACCTCTTCTCCACTTAGAGGAATCCCAGTTGTGATATACTACAAGCTATATTTGGTTTTGTTCCTGGTCCCTGGCACAGAGCTCCTACAACCCTTTGAATTTCCTGAGTGATAAGAGTAATAGGAGCATCTTTTGTTATCCTTGACAAGCCCCTTTCAAACATACCTTAATAGTCTCCAAAGAGGGGAGGAAGGCTGGAGACTGAGTTCAATCACCACTGGCCAATAATTTAAGCCATTATGCCTACAATGGAACCTCCATAAAAACCTCTAAGCAAAGGGGACTGGAGAACTGCCAAGCTAGTGATCACATCCCATGCTGGCCGGATGATGCACCCAACTCCATGGGGATAAGAGACTCCTATGCTCTAAAGCCTTCTGACCTTACCCCATGTATCTCTTTGTTTGGCTATTCATTTTTATCTTTTACAGTAAACTGTAATATTAAGAATGGCATTTTACTGAGTTCTCTGAGTTGTTCTAGCAAATCATCAAACTAGAGTCAGAATAGGTTGTGAGTACCCTCAAATCTGTAGTTAAGTCAGACGGAAGTCAGGTAACCAGGGGCCCCCATTCCTGTGATTCACATCTGAAGTGAGGGAAGTCTTGTGGGACTGAGCCCTTCAACCTGAAGAATTTGATGATAACTCTAAGTACAATAGTTAGTGTCACAATAGGATTGAGTTGTAAGACAGTTGGTGTCAGAGAACCAGAGTTGGATAATTGATGTTGGAAAAGACACTACGTATTTGGTGTCATATTTTCTTGACTAGCCATAAATTTTATTTTCTTTTTAAAAATGTGAGTTCAAATGTAAGATAGTCTAACTTCCTAAAATTAATAATAAAGTTTTAAAGTAAAAAATGTAATGGCTCTGTTCCCATATTCCTTTCTCCTCCCCCTTTCCCCCAACCCCACAATGAATTATTTCTGGAGCAGTTGCTAATGTTGATGCCTTTTTTTCTAAGGTAATGGTATTTCAACATTTGTTTTTTGTTACTTGGAGTTGCATTTTAAAAATACACTATATAAAATCTTGGGTCTTGGGCAAGCAACAAACTGATATAACCACCACAAATGTATCAGACTGGCATATAACTCAAATTGACTTATCTCTGGCTCTGATGTGCCTGGTACTGGTTTAAGAACAAAACAAGGTGGAGGAGAACGAATGATTTAAGTTCATTTTTTTTGGTGAAATTTCTATAACTCTATTCTACCTGTCCCCATACCCTTACACACATTGGAAAGGAGAATCTGAACAAAAAATTTTGGGTAGATCTCTTAATTGACTAAAATGAAAATCAACTATATTCAGAGAAATCATGATGACTATTCTACTTCTTGTAAAAGAGTTTAACTTGTTACTTTAAACAAAACAAAAAATCATATGGAATACATTTATTTACAAGTAAAATATTTCTCCCAATAAAATGATATACATATAAACATTCCCTCTCCACCCTCAAGAAATAAAGTTGTATTAAAGTCAATGTGAATCATTAGGAATGACTTACTGGCATGGAAACATAATGCAAGTTAATAGGTTGAAAGTTTACATGTAGGCAAGACTCTTGTAATATCTTCAAATAGAAATAAAATGATCTCACTGTTTAGCAAAGCAATAGAAGCACCATTAAAGCATACTAATAAAAGAGAAGAAGAAAAAGGCAAATGTTGCAAAAATGTATTTCTGATTCAAGTTAGTGCTTAGTTTATAAAAAGATGAAACATGCAGTTTCATAGTTCACAAATAAACAAATAAGGCTTTGTGATCTCAGTGACCAGATTGAAGTGGCCCTTTCTTTGTTTTTAGAAAATAGAATATATTTTATCCCAAGTAAATATATAAAAAGTTCCTTCAAACAGAATGGTCAAAGGAAAAATTTAAGAAGGCACCCACCATATCCATATTCTTATTTATTTCAATGTACTCAAGGCGAAGATAGTATATTTAACTTTAGGACCACAGGCATATTTTTATTCGATCTCAGAGCTTCAGTGACTTCAGAGACAGCTCCATCCTCTCTATGGGAAGGAAATAATCATTGGCTGCTTCTTTGTCTCAGGTTTGAAGGGTAATTATTGAAGTAAATAAGGCACACATATGTCTACTCATGATTCAGCTGGTTGGACTATTTTTTTGCCTTTCAAAGCTTATAGCAGAACCTCTTAACTTACTCTTATTAGTGTACAGAGTAGGAAAAAATATCATTGATACATTTCAGACTCCACATGTCACCTAAACTTTAAGAAACTACCACTTGTAGAGTTTGGGTTAGTATCAAAGAAGAATACTGGTAATTTTATGAAAAGGCTTTATTAAAATAATCTTTCCTTGTCCATTTACCTATCTGCACATGGCTGTTCTCCTTTAAATACTTCAACCAAAACAACAAATTGCAACAGATAGAATGCAGAAGCACATATGAGAATCCAGCTATTTTCTATTAAGCCAGACATTAAGGAGATTTGCAAAAAAAATAAAAAAGTTACTCCCCCCCCCCTTTTTTTTTTTTAAGATTCAGTTATCTTTCATTAAACACATACCCAGTTTTAATTAACACATAATCAGTTTTTTTTTTTTAATTTGGGGATTTTAATTTCTAGTACAGAAATATCAATGGATAGAACCTACATAAACAAAAACTCTTTTAATCCTACTTTGTAGGTGTGTAAAGGGGTTTTGAGTCCAAAGTGTTTGAGGACTAGTGGTACAAAGTCAAAGACTGGATTAAAGCCTGATTTTATAAACTGGAATCTTGACCTGCCATATAATGGAAGATCCTGGCATCATTACTGGTGGTTTAGTTAAGACTTATTATAAAGATAATGTAATAAAAGCCCTTAGTGCTGTCTCTATAATGAGGTAAGTGGACAATAAATGTTTATCATTATTGTTGCCCTTATTATTGGCTCAACAATTCTGGCTATCATCATTATTAGTAGTAATTGTAACAGAAGTCTTATAGCTCCCAGACTAATTGGTGATAGACAAGGTGAGCGGTGTTTTTTTTTTGTTTTTTGTTTTTGTTTTTTTATAACCTGGATGCGGCTGTACTCAATACCTCTCCAACTTCTTTCAAGAAGTAACTCTAAATTTTCTCATGTGATCATATCATTTTATCCATCTTTTAGAGCATTTAGGATTGCAAAACCCAAAGTGGGTAAGGTAGAAATGTGACAGATTTACTATGAGTGAGTTTTCATCTTGTAAGAAAAAGAAAGAAGAAAATGGTCATACCTATTGAATTTCCCTAAACAAATGTAATCCTTTAAAAAAAAGTCTTGCCTCTTTGACTGATGATTAGAGCCTTTGATTAAAGGCTCTAGAATCTTCTAAAAAGCCTAGTAGAGAGGCTATACCAACCTACTTTAATGTGCTAGATAAGCAAATGACTACTCTACTGTAGTCACATGCCAGTTAACCAGTATAGAGGAACGAACCTGCATCAGGGGAAGGCAGGGAAAGCAGCTGAAATGTGATTCAAACTCAAAACAGTTTGAGGAAATCACTCTGGAGTAAAGCAGACTGCACAAAAATGAGGTTAGGTTATGTAAGCATTCAGGGCAATAAACAGGGGGAGTAACTAATTATATTGGACTATAAAGTGATTCTCAGACTTGTTTGCATATCTAATCTCATTTAGACAGTGGGAATAGGAGACTGCTAAATTGGAAATTATTCACACATATTTGTCCAAGTAGACAGGTGGGAGTGAGATGCAATAGAGGAAACTGGCACTATAATAAAATTAAGCCCTTAGATTACTTTAATGAAGA